ACAGAACTTTGAAAACTGTGAGGACTCCTTCAACCAATGGAGAACTAAAAAGTGCAAACTGGAACATTGCATCTGTCCCTGGAACTGTGTATTGGTGGGCCGCCATGAGACCTCACCCTAGGCTGACTTCTCTTCATGTAGGTGGTTGGTTCTCAGATCCTTTCACAAGGGGGAAGCCCACCATAAGCAGACATATGAACACACACATGCATGCACATACATGCACACACACACACACACACACACACACACAGCTTTATTCAACATAAACCCCAGAATGGAAGAGAGGTCACAACTGCTATTCAAAATGAGTCTCAGGGGCAGCCCTGGTGGCTCAGCGGTTTAGCGCCGCCTGCAGCCCAGGGTGATCCTGGAGACCCTGGATCGAGTCCCACATCGGGCTCCCAGAATGGAGCCTGCTTCTCCCTCTGCCTGTGTCTCTGCCTCTCTCTCTCTCCTCTCTGTGTATTCTCATGAATAAATAAATAAAATCTTTTTTAAAAAAATGAGTCTCAGAAGTGACAGGTGTGATCTTTTTGAAGTTACTTCTTAACTGGGCCAGACCCTCCATTCCATGTTGCCTTCTCAGGGACCCACAGGCTTCTTTCCTGGCTGTAGAGCTCATACGTACATTCTCTGGACCAAGAACATCTAAGGGCTCTTCCATGTGATCATTGTCAAAAGGATGTCCATGCAGAAACCTTGTGGGTTTTCAGACTTTCTCTGTGCACCTAAAACAACAAGCAGCTTTCACTGGCTTGCCTCGCCCTGAGGCCGGCAGCCTTCACTAAAGAGAGCAGTTCAATTGCCTTCTCAATCCCACCAGACAACAGGGATTGTTTTAGCCTCCTAAGAGAGAAATATTTTGTGAGAGAAATAGTCGGACTCATGACACGTGATGTAAAGGCATGTGTGTCACACAAGTCCACATGGAAAACACATTCTAGGGAAAAATGCAAAAATGCACCAAAAGTTGAAACAGACTGATGCAGTGTGAATCTGACCCTCCTAACTGTATGATCTTGGACAAATTAAATAAACCTTTTAAGTCCCATTTTTAAAAGAAGAATAAGAATACCATTCAAAGTTGATATGAGGACCAAATGAAATTATTTGTGGAAACTGCCTATGTACCAATATTATCTCATTGTCTAAAAGGACCAAGAAAATAATTTATTATATAGTTTTAAAGGATGTATGATTCCATCCATAAATAAAGTCCTCCTTATACTCTTCAAGTACTCCTCACTTCCAGAATGAAAGAGATAATCAACAACTATCCTTAATCTTTTGAGGATTGTGGGTCACTTAGAGAACTTAAGGGATATTAGGAGTTGCTTTTTCAAAAAAAAAGGGGGGTGGGGGGTTTCTTTTTCCAAAAGAAACAAGGAAGTCAGTATTCTAACTCTAGAGGTGCTTGGGTGCCTTGAAGCCTATCTATGGGCTTTTCCACAGAGCCCAGGCTATGAACTCACACCTTGAGTACTAACTTGCAGGCCTGCCTTCTCAGCACAGTAGAGTAAGTGACTATGGCAGGCCTAGGCCTAATTACATCCCAAGCCATTGTCCATAGCTGAGAGCTATTCAGTACATCCATATTCAGATACCCTTGCCATGAACTAGTATTTCTCCCCACCTCACCTCACCCCTCATATTAGAGCACAAGTCTGAAAAAGTTACCTGGCTCCTTTGTCTACATGGGAAAAACCAAACAGGACTGAATGCATTCATAAAGGCTGCATCATCTCATTGATATAATGCCCTCCTTTATGACTTAGGACTAAAGTGAATTAAGACTTTGTGAGTCCTGCTTCAACGTGGATGGAACTGGAGGGTATTATGCTGAGTGAAGTAAGTCAATCGGAGAAGGACAAACAGTGTATGTTCTCATTCATTTGGGGAATATAAATAATAGTGAAAGGGAATATAAGGGAAGGGAGAAGAAATGTGTGGGAAATATCAGAAAGGGAGACAGAAGATAAAGACTCCTAACTCTGGGAAACGAACTAGGGGTGGTGGAAGGGGAGGAGGGCGGGGGGTGGGGGTGAATGGGTGACAGGCACTGAGGGGGACACTTGACGGGATGAGCACTGGGTGTTATTCTGTATGTTGGTAAATTGAACACCAATAAAAAATTAATTTATTTAAAAAAAGACTTTGTGAGTCCCTACTACTCACCAAGCAGTGTGCTAAACCCTTAACATGCATTGTCATCTCTTATAATGACAGTATGAGGTGGCTTTCACTATCCCCATTTGGTAGTCAGCTGAATCTTGGATGGTTTCAAAGTCACTGGGTGATCTGCAGCAAATGGCAGAGCCAGGCTTGGATACCCAGGGGACTGCAGATCTCCTGGGACATTTTATAAGTACTGAAATTTGGGGGCTCTTGGCTGCTTGGGTCCTCAAAGCATTGCTCACCCCATCTTCTTTTAGCTCCCAGCCCTGAGAACCCCACTCTAGAAGGACTGCCCTCCACATATAAGGCACCCTCTGCTGGCTCCACACTCCTGTGAATCCATCATTCGTCATCCCCAAAGCTGTCAGTGTCCAACTTCCATATGGATGGCAGGCATGGTCTTCAAAGCCTCCAGGTCCTCCCCTCTGTTAATGTTTTGCTTCCTATTTCAGATCAGAACCAGTCCTTCTGTCACATCTGAATTTCCAATATCCACCCACCTCATCAGCTTGCCTGCCATGGGCATCTAAGAATCTAGGTCAATCATTGCAGGAAAAATGTAGCTAGAGCGCAATGGTATGAAAGTGAACAAGACTGCTTCGATCACACCCAAGTCTTCATGAGCCAATGCCTTGGTAAGTTTCTTTGTGCCTTGAAAATATGTTTATATGGAAGTTTCTTGAGCATTCAGCATTTTAAACTGACTGGAAAAAAATAAATAAACTGACTGGAACAACATACGCTATAGATACTTTAACAGGATTTTGGGTGGTTTGCCAAGTTGTCAAGAGTTTAACCCACTCTGCTCCCAGTCTGACAGTTTTTTTTTTTAAGATTTTATTTACTTATTCACGAGAGACACATAGAGGCAGAGACACAGGCAGAGGGAGAAGCAGGCTCCCTGGGGGGAGCCCGATGTGGGACTGGATCCCAGGATCCCAGGATCATGCCCTGAGCTGAAGGCAGATGCTCAACCACTGAGCCACCCAGGTGTCCCCTAGAATGACAGTTTCTATGATACCTATTCTTTGCTTGTCTTCAGTACCATCCGACTCCAGCTCTCTGACCCAGAGTCAGCTTATGGTGACATCTTCTGTTGACAGATTGACTTTCTTGATCAAGAAAAAGCTCACTGTGTTGAGGCATAGCAGCTGTTGAGAAGGGCCACATTACATGGCCCTTCTCTGAGGCTCTTCTCTGAAATATATTTAGCCTGAGGGCGGGCAGGAGCACACAAAAGAGGAGTCAGCACTTCACAAGCAGCCCACCAAAAGAGAGAAGGTCCACCCAGCCACATGCTGGTGGCAGCAGAAGGGAGCACTGAACACGCAGTCTGAAGAGGGGGAGAGCCAGGGATGTGTGTGACCCTAGAAAAGTCACTGTGTGACCCTGGAAAAGTCCCGAATGTGTCATCTATGAAATGGGAATGACAATGACCTGATCTTTTTAGCATTGTTGTCATGGAACATGGGCCATTGTAAGTGCCCATGATGAGGTGTGACCTCCTGAGGGGGCATAAGGGACACGAATGATGCCCATGGACCATCACCCAGCCAAGGTGAACTCTGAGCCCCACTAGAAGAGTTCAGCACAGCCTCAGTCTACCCAGAGTGATACCCACCTGAGGGTACCGTTATCCAAGTCCACAGCCTCCTCTAGGTCTTCCCATTCACTCTCACTATCACAGACTTCTTCTGCAGGCAAAGACTCTGAGAGGAAACTCCAAGAACAGAACTGTGGCAAGGGAATGGTCTCTGAATCTGCCTCCAAACATTCTTCACAGGGTAGCTGGCTTTCCCATGTAGAGTTGATGGTTAGATATGCTTCATTTTCCACAGTGGAAGAAGAGGCTTTACGTAGATGACCCGTGTCTCCCTCCTCATCATCTGTGTCCAATTCAGGACTAGAAAACAGAAACCCATGTGTCTTCCAGCATTGATAAGAAATTCCTCTCCCCACCTTTCCTTGCTTTCAGGATGTTCATCATGACACAGCATAGGAGAGCCAGACAGTGTCCAAACAGCTCCTGCCAGAGACTGCTCTGAAAAGTAAATAAGGCATGGCCCTGTCTTTGAGGATCCCCTGATTTAGTGGGAAGAGTGAGCAGTGAACAAATGTTAGAATACAGGGAGAGAGTGCTATGGTAGAGGCAGCATAGAGCATTATGGGAGCAGGGGGGCTCCTGACTGAGCCCAGGAGACCACGGAGGACTTGCCAGAGGACATGACATCGAAAACAGAGCTATGACTCTGTTCCAGGACTGATTCTTCATATGGGCGGTTAGGGAGACCTCAGGTAAGTTTATTAACTTCTCTGGGACCTCAGTTTGCTCATCTGAAAAATGGGAAGGTCGAGAAATTTATAGAATTGCTTAGATCACATAATTCTGGTACATACGTTCGTGGTTCCTGGTACAGGAGGAGTCCTCAGTAAATGGGAGAGGCTATCATCATAATGATGACGATTGTCATTTCAACAGAAGGGTTAGGGGGAAAGAGCCCAAGCAGGAGGCTGGGAGCAACTCAAGCAGGTGACCTTCAAAGCACTTCGTGCAAATATCAAGTCCTTTTTGGAGTGCTGAGAAAGGGCCTATTTGTAGAGGCAGCCAGCTGGAGTGACATTTAGTCCCCGTGTGACACAGGAAGTGGATGAGCGATGAGAGAGGCACATTGTCTGACCGTGAAGATTCAGGCACAACAGTTGAAGAACACGCATTCCAGGGACTGCCCAAAGGTCACCCCACATGCTCTCTGATTAGAAAAAGCAGTCCAGACAGATGGCAGAGCACTTTGTACAGCTCTTCAAACATGCAGAGAATGTGGTCAGAAAATATCTGTTGAAAGCCCGGTTAGAGAGGATGAGGAGGAAAATCTATAAGAAATGCAAGCAGATTTAGCTTTTCATCAAACACACGAATTCTCATTTATCAGCCTCCTTCCCCACATCCAAAGCAATGGGTTGCTTTATTACGTACCCTCTGCTCTCCCCTTCCTCCTCCTTCCCTGAAATGTCCCTTTCTTGTAAACTCAGCTCTGATGCCTCTCAATAGCTACAAGCCCCCAAATGCACAGAGGGTCAGTCCTCCCCAGTATAACTGGAGTTTCACCAACCTGAGTTTCACCATCAAAAAGATGTTATTTCTGCGCATGAGACCTACAGGATATATATAAATGTGTATTTCATGTAAATAGATGCACACTCATGTGCATAAAAAGGAGACTGTATGCTACCTGGACTCTAAGAGGAATACTCACTTTAGGAAAGCAATATTTTAAAATCACTAAGCACTTTGGAGGAAAATTGGTTTAAAATCGTAAAGCATTTGACCAAACTGTGGAGAAAATGCATCTCCTTATAAGTATGGAAAGGAACACTGTGGAAGTTTTGTCATGGAAAGGGAAATCAGGGAAGCCTGGGTGGCTCAGTGGTTGAGCTTCTGCCTTTGGCTCAGATCGTGATCCTGGGTCCTGGGGACCGAGTCCTGCATAGGGCTCCCAGTGGGGAGGCTGCTTCTCCCTCTGCCTATGTCTCTGTCTCTCTCTGTGTGTGTCTCTCATGAATAAGTAAATAAAATCTTAAAAAAAAAAAAGAACAGGAAATCCAGCCTCTTGCCCAGGCACTCTCCCCACACCCCCCACACCCTTGCCTCCACAAGCAGCCCACTACCTCTCACACTCCCTCCCTCCCTCCCTCTGGCTGGAGGAGAAGCCGGTGGACAACACATGCCTTGGGCCACTACAATGCCTGACAGTGCCTGACCTCCCACCACCATCCTCCTCCAACCTTTCTGATAAGCTCTTGCAAGAGGTTGAGGTGTCAGAGTGTCTGGAGGGGCCATGCTGGTCCCAAGGGTGACCTTGCATTGTCTCTAAGACATCAAGGAGATAAGTCCAGTGGACTGCTGAGTTTGACGCTTGCATGACAATCCTGAGCTGAAGCCCAGTATTTAGGAGTTATTGGAGTAGTGTGCCTGACCATGTGTGGTTGGCAGGGAGTGAGCAGAGGGCTTAGGGGCATCTCCTGGGAACCTGTAAGTGTGCAGAGAGAAGCCAGCTGCAGTCAACACCAGGCCCCAGTCTGCCCCAGCTCTGCTTTTGGACTACTGCCATTCCTGACCAGGCACAGGCCTCACTCTCTTCCCTCAGGCATGCTTCTGACCTCACAGAGGTTCCTTGTGCCTTCCTATCTAACCAAGAGGCCACTCACCTGGCAGCTTCATGCCTCGGCCAGCTACGCTTATGTCACCGCAGGTATGGCAGCTGCTGTTGAGTTTGACCTATAGCCTCCTACTCATTCTTTGCTATTCCAGAAACAGCACCCTTTCCGGAAGGTGTACTGTAACTTTAGGTTCATTTCAAGGACATTGGCTTCATTTTGCATACTTAACAACCATGAAGACTTACAACATCACTTTCACTAAATGATACTTACATTTTAATTACATGAATTTAACTATATGTGCTAGGAGAGAGAGAGAGAAATAACCTTATACATCCTGCAATGACCAGCTCTCCAATCTATGAGCATAAGCCCTGGAATGAACACAAGTGAAAGCCTCAAATCTGCTATCCCCATTCATTCCTATGAGTCCAGCACATAAAGATAAGTATTTGGCAGACAGCAAGGCCCTTCACTTGAGGCTCAAAGAAAAAGCAATCTCCTCCCACACCAGAGGAGCAAAGAACATCACACCTTCCAAAGTGATGTTCACTTCATGTGATTTTTGCTCAATGCCCTAACTTTAGAAACAAACCTTGCATAAGATGCAACTCCAGCTAAGTGCCTCCAGCAGCAGGCAATTCTAACCCTCCTCCATGAAAATGTATTGTACTACTTTATTAGCATGCTTTATAAGCGCCTACAGTGACATGGTGGCGTCTCTAGTTGTACAGTTGTAAAAGAAAAGAACAAGGAAGGAAAAGTAAAATCTCATCTCCTCCATGAACACTCTGGATTTGCTGGCAGCCACCTGGCTCTAGGAAGGAGCCACCTGGCAGATGGTAAATTCTGGCAATTTACTGGGAATTTCAGTTGATGGGATTCATTCTTTAGCTAGAAACAATCCAAGAAAGGGAAAGAAATTGACTTTTGTTAAGTTCCTGCTGCATGCCAGGTGCCTTGAGAGGACTCAGCAGGTGTTCTTTCTTTTGTTTTTTTGTTGTTGTTGTTGTTGTTTGTTTGTTTGTTTTCTTCTCTGAAACTCAAACTACTTTATTTATTTAAATAATTTTTAATAATAAATTTATTTTTATTGGTGTTCAATTTGCCAACATACAGAATGAAACCCAGTGCTCATCCCGTCAAGTGCCCCCGTCAGTGCCCGTCAACCATTCACCTCTACCCCCTGCCCTCCTCCCCTTCCACCACACCTAGTTCGTTTCCCAGAGTTAGGAGTTCTTTCTTTTGACCTGCAGAGTGTCCTGTGCCACCGTCCTTGTCTTTGTTTATATTTAAGAAGCTATCGTGTTGGCCATGTCTATGTCTTCCTCTGTGAGATTTCTGTTCCTGTCTTTTGCCCATTTCATGATTGCATTGTTTGTTACTTTGCTGTTGAGTTGAATAAGTTCTTTATAGATCTTGGAAACTAGCCCTTTATCTGATGTGTCATTTGCAAATATCTTCTCCCATTCTGTAGGTTGTCTTTTAGTTTTGTTGACTGTATCCTTTGCTGTGCAAAAGCTTCTTATCTGGATGAAGTCCCAATAGTTCATTTTTGCTTTTGTTTCTTTTGCCTTCCTGGATGTATCTTGTAAGAAGTTACTGTGGCTGAGTTCAAAAAGGGTGTTGCCTGTGTTCTCCTCTAGGATTTTGATGGAATCTTGTCTCACATTTAGATCTTTCATCCATTTTGAGTTTATCTTTGTGTATGGTGCAAGAGAGTGGTCTAGTTTCATTCTTATGCTCTGCATCACTTGCCATCAGGGAAATACAAATCAAAACCACAATGAGATACCACCTCACACCAGTGAGAATGGGGAAAATTAACAAGGCAGGGAACCAAAAATTGTGGGACCCAGGAAATTTAACAAAAATCCCCTACCCCTGGACAAGCAGAGCAGGACTGATTCCATTTTGTGCTACACCCGCCACCTCCCGTATGACCCCCACATGACCTGCTTATTGCTTAAGGCGCTGCCCCACCCTAGTCAACCGCTGGGCACACCCTAATCAGAAATTGGCTCATAACAATGTAACCCTGCTTTGTGCCCGCCAAAACTACGCGCCTATTCTGACCAAAGTAATAGGCCAGCTCAAGTGAATACTATAGGGCAAGGTGTAATTCAATCGGCCACCTGCGTGTGGACCGACATGACTGCGCAACTTTCTGCGTATCTCATGGGCCACTGGCCCCTATAAAGCTGCTACGCCTCTTAGTCTAGGGGTCCAAGTCCCTGCTCCACTGTGTCGGGTACACTTGGACCCAAGCTCGAGCTTGTAAATAAACCCTCGTGTGTTTGCATCAGTGTCGGCTCCTTGGTGGTTTCTCGGATTTGCAATCTTGGGCACAACAAAATGTTGGAGAGGATGCAGAGAAAAGGGAACACTCTTACACTGTTGGTGGGAATGTGAACTGGTGCAGCCACTCTGGAAAACTGTGTGGAGGTTCCTCAAAGAGTTAAAAATAGATCTGCCCTACGACCCAGCAATTGCACTGCTGGGGATTTACCCCAAAGATTCAGATGCAATGAAACGCCGGGACACCTGCACCCCGATGTTTCTAGCAGCCATGTCCACAATAGCCAAACTGTGGAAGGAGCCTCGGTGCCCATCGAAAGATGAATGGATAAAGAAGATGTGGTTTATGTATACAATGGAATATTACTCAGCCATTAGAAACGACAAATACCCACCATTTCCTTCAACGTGGGTGGAACTGGAGGGTATTATGCTGAGTGAAGTAAGTCAATCGGAGAAGGACAAACAGTGTATGTTCTCATTCATCTGGGGAATATGAATAATAGTGAAAGGGAATATAAGGGAAGGGAGAAGAAATGTGTGGGAAATATCAGAAAGTGAGACAGAACATAAAGACTTCTAACTCTGGGAAATGAACTAGGGGTGGTGGAGGGGGAGGAGGGGGGGGTGGGGGTGAATGGGTGGCGGGCACTGAGGGGGCACTTGACGGGATGACCACTGGGTGTTATTCTGTATGTTGGTAAATTGAACACCAATAAAAATTAATTTATTAAAAAAAAAAGAAAGGGAGACAGAACATGAAGACTCCTAACTCTGGGAAACGAACTAGGGGTGGTGGAAGGGGAAGAGGGCAGGGGGTGGGGGTGAATGGGTGGCGGGCACTGAGGGGGCACTTGACGGGATGACCACTGGGTGTTATTCTGTATGTTGGCAAATTGAACACCAATAAAAAATAAATTTATTATTTTATAAAAAAGAAGCTATAGTGAAAGGGAATAAAGGGGAAAGGAGAAAAAATAAGTGGGAAATATCAGAAAGGGAAACAGAACATGAAGACTCCTAACTCTGGGAAACGAACTAGGGGTGGTGGAAGGGGAGGAGGGCGGGGGGTGGAGATGACTGGGTGATGGGCACTGAGGTGGGCACTTGAGGGGATGAGCACTGGGTGTTATTCTATATGTTGGCAAATTGAACACCAATAAAAAAAATAAATAATAAGAAAGAAGCCTCAGGCTCAGAGGAGTCAACACTCCCGACATACTTAGTACATCTTAGTACATGTTAAAGCTGAAACCAGCTATATGCTCAAGAAGTCTGTGCTCTTTTGGTTCCAAACTGCCGAAAGACAACTTGACTCACAGGTGCCAGAAAGGAAGAGGTATTTGCCTGGAACAGCCACCTCAGAACTGAGGTGCATACACTTGTAAGAGGAGTCTGCAAAGAACCACAATCCTACCAGGAACTGGGGGACTATGTTCAGGGACTGTGGGGCATGTGACATGCTTTCTTCTTGTAGGGGATGGTCACTATGTATGCATCTAGAGCAAGTTAATAATGTCCTGTTAGAGAAGAAGCTAACATGGTTTCAGTCCTTCCTTTGGAAGGAAAGAAAAGTTCCTGAGCAGGGGAAAAAACATGGTAAAAATGCAGCCAGGAATTGTGAGGAGGCAGAGTGGCTGTCATTACCAGGAGCACCACAGGGAGGTCAAGTCCAAGGGGGAGGTTTTGGCCATGGAGGGAGCCAGAACAGAGAAACAGTAAGGCTGCCTCTTTATGGCTCCATGGACCACCATTGGCCTTGGTAACAAGCATGACTAACTGAATATCAGAAGCTCCACCAGAATGCTCTGGAAAAGCTCTCAAGATTCTTGTATAACTCCAGGAGAGGAGAACTTCCTCCAAAGATGGTATGTTTTGGACATCAGGTATACCGTTTCAAGTAGGAACACTAAAGCCAAATTTAATTTGATCCAAAAAATAATATGATGTTTCTTACAAAAATAATGACAAAAGATAGGAGAAAATAGGCATACACTTAGAAGTAGAAGATAGAAAAAAAGGCAGATTTCACCCTAATATAAGCACTTTCTGGTCAACAAATACATGATGATAAAATAAGTCACTTTAATAGGTAGCAAGTTCTGCATCCCTGGAGGTATTCAATCAAAAGCAGGTCCCCTGCTTCAGGGATAGTTTTCAGCAGGGAGTATGAAGTCTGATCAGATCATTTTTGTATTTATTCTGTGACTTCATGAATGAAACAGCGACAAAACTAAAATTAGTAAAAAAAAAAACCACATTAATAACTGCTAACTATATTAGTTTAAAAGTACATGGCAAGGGATCCCTGGGTGGCGCAGCGGTTTGGTGCCTGCCTTTGGCCCAGGGCGCGATCCTGGAGATCCAGGATCGAATCCCACGTCGGGCTCCCGGTGCATGGAGCCTGCTTCTCCCTCTGCCTGTGTTTCTGCCTCTCTCTCTCTGTGTGTGTGACTATCATAAATTTAAAAAAAAAAGTACATGGCAAGTCAAACTCCAGGCTTGTAGCTAAACCCAGAGTAACTCTAAAATCCAATAATCCAATGCTCAGGGTTTCTGTCCATCATCCTGAACTCTCTGGCAGTAAAACCTTTAAAATTCCAAGAGAGTAGCCTCATTCCTATAAGGAAATCGAGTAGGAAAACATAAATGTTTCCTATAAGATCACACTAATAGTTGTCCTCGGGTAAACCTCTGGAGGTTCTTTCCTTTATCGTGTGACCAAGTACATCAATTCCTGCTTAGAATACAATTGTAAGAAATGATAATACATGTGTATTTATGCATTTTCAGACAATGAAAATGAATACCACTGATGAATGTGCTTGCCCACTCTGTTTTACTTTGCAGACTAGTTAGTTTTTGTTTGGTTGGTATGGCATTCTTATAAAAATTGTACCTGAATGCTTTTATTTATTCATTTATTTTGAAGGGGTGAGAGGTCAGAGGGAGAGAGAGAACCTTAAGCAAACTACCCTGAGTGGGGGGCCGGATGTGGGGCTGGATCTTACCCTCGAGATCATGGCCTGAGCTGAAATCAAGAGTCGAACACTCAACCGACTGAGCCACCCAGGAGCCCCCTGAACATTTTTGGGGAACATGTGCCCGGCTCCTATTAGTCACAGATCTCACCTTGCCTGATTGCATGAAATGGGCTGCTTCATTCTTCATGTCACCTACCAGGCCCTATAGATCTGCCCTAGTCAGCCTTCTAGGATGATCAACAAAAAAGAGCCATTTCATAGCAGTGGGCATATCCAGTGTCAAACACAAGCTACCCTTCCTTATCATTTGCCTGCTTTGTGCCCATGCATCCAGCTAGCACATGCCTTGAGGCAGTATCTCACCCTTTCTAGGTATATGAAACCTTCTCTCTGTTCCTAACAGGTTCCTGTGCACCTTAGTATATGTGATAAATACTGTCAAACTGAATCACCCAGAATGTTTTCCATCAGAACAGGATGGAAGACCGCAAATACTTGGGGGTGGGGCACAAAATGAAGGCTAAGTTAAAAATGGCTATTAAAATGAATGTTTCAGTCCAGTCTTTAAAGATAAAGACAGGGATCCCTGGGTGGCGCAGCGGTTTAGCGCCTGCCTTTGGCCCAGGGCGCGATCCTGGAGACCCGGGATCAAATCCCACGTCGGACTCCCAGTGCATGGAGCCTGCTTCTCCCTCTGCCTGTGTCTCTGCCTCTCTCTCTCTCTCTGTGACTATCATAAATAAATAAAAATTTAAAAAAAAAGATAAAGACAGATTTTTTTAAAAAAAAAACTGCTGTCAAGGGATCCCTGGGTGGTGCAGCGGTTTGGCGCCTGCCTTTGGCCCAGGGCGCGATCCTGGAGACCCACGTCGGGCTCCCGGTGCATGGAGCCTGCTTCTCCCTCTGCCTGTGTCTCTGCCTCTCTCTCTCTCTCTCTCTCTTTCTCTCTCTCTCTCTCTCTGTGACTATCATAAAAAAAAACTGGTGGTGTCAATTATCAAGTATTATATTAGCAATAAAGAGGGTGATGTATACAAGGAACTTCTTTCTTATCACAATGCTTTAAATTTTTTTTATTTATTTACGATAGTCACAGACAGAGAGAGAGAGAGAGAGAGAGAGAGAGAGAGAGGCAGAGACACAGGCAGATGGAGAAGCAGGCTCCATGCACCGGGAGCCCGACGTGGGATTCGATCCCGGGTCTCCAGGATCGCGCCCTGGGCCAAAGGCAGGCGCTAAACCGCTGCGCCATCCAGGGATCCCCACAATGCTTTAAAAGGCCATGCAGGAGGTGGGGTGGGGGGCCTAGGTGGCTGGGTCAATTAATTCCAACCTTGATTTCGGCTCAGGCCCTGATCTCAGAGTCATGGGACCGAGCTCAGGAGGGAGTCTGCTTGAAGATTTTCTCTCTCCCTCTTCCTCTACCCCTTCTTCCTCTGCAGTCTCTCACTTGCTGTCTAAAATAAATAAACCAATCTTTAAAAAACTAAAAATAAGGCCATGCAGGATGTAGCGCAAAGGTTTGTATGCTGGGAGAAACACCTAACACCTGCTATCTGTAGGTTCCAAGGGTACAGGAGGACCACCGAGTGAGGTTAGTTTTCCAAAAGCTCACTGTGGTTGCAACAGCTCCAGACCTATGCTTCTCTTTTTTCTGCCCCACCCCTCCCACCTCTGCCAAATGCCTAGAATAGTGCTGGACCCAGTAAGCATCTGAACACCGTTATTAACTGCTTGATTGTAATTTCTAGCAATGAAATGCTATTTACAAAGTATCTGCAAATGTGGTGATTCTTACCTTTCAAGTCTCCTGATATCACAAACTGAATAACAGTTTTCCCTTATATCCTTTTCCAAAGAGGTGGCCAAATTGGATGCATCCATTTCTTGCTGCAGTCTGCATAAGTGAGGGTGGGAATCCTGAGGATGCATCGAGGAAGTGGCCCAGGATCTCTCTAGGTCTTGGTCCCATTGTACCTCCCCAGCGGCTCTTTGGAAAGACTCTGGCCCAGGAGCCAGGCTTTTTCCTGCATCTGGGGAGGCACTCTCCCTTTGGCTATATTCTTGATCCAAACTGGGGCTCTGCTCTGAGTCAGTGCAAGTTGCCCTGGTGAATTCTTTGTCTGATGAGAGCACGGGTGTCTATTAAAAGAAATGCTAAGGGTTATTGGATCCATGGTGCATATTAAGCAAAATCTAAAACTTACTTCTTTAAAACATAATCATGGTTTTTCTTCCATGTGATTGTGGGGCAAAGCAGTTCAGAGATGGGCTCTGGGTCAGTTTCCCTCTGTCAGGACCCCAGCTCCCACTGGGCCCTAGGTGACACAAGTAACCATCTCTAAACCACTTAGCTTGGAGCATTGGAAAAATAATGTAAGCGTTATTTTTTTAATATTTTAAAATTTTAAAAAATCAAACTCAACACCCAAAAAACAAATAACCCAGTTAAGAATTTGGCAGAAGACATGACTAGACACTTTACAAAAAGACATCCAGATGGTTAGCAGACATGTGAAAAGATGCCCAACATCACTCATTATCAGGAAAATGCAAATCAAAACCATGATGAGATACCATCTCGCACCTGTTACAATGGCTAAAATTAACAACACAAGAAACAACAGGCGTTGGTGAGAATGCAGAGAAAGGGGAATGCTCATAATACTGTGGTGGGAATGCAAGCTGGTGCAGCCACTCTGGAAAGGATAGAGGTTCCTCAAAATATTAAAAGTAGAACTCCCCTAAGACCCAGCAATTATACTGTGAGGTACTTTCACAAAGGATACAAAATACAGATTTGAAGGGATACATGTACCCCAATATTTACAGCAGCATTATCAACAATAGCCAAACTATGTTTGAGAGCCCAAATGTCCATCTACTGATGAATGAATAAAGATGTGATATATATAAATAATATATTAATATTATTATGTATATTATGTATATTGTATAATATATTAATATTATTATGTATATATATAATATATATATTATGTATAATAGAGTAATATTCCATTATATATATATATAATGGAATATTACTCAATCACCAAAAAGAATGAAATCTTGCTATTTGCAGCAACATGAATGGAACTAGAGGGTATTATGCCAAGTCAGAGAAAGACAAATACCATATGATCTCACTCATATGTGGAATTTAAGAAAGAAAATAGATGAACATATGGGAAAGAAGGAAAGAAAAAAAGAGACGGAAACAAGCCATAAGAGACTCTTAACAATAGAGAACAAACTAAGGGTTGATAGAGGGGAGGCAGGCAGGGGGGATGGGCTAGATGGGTGATGGGGGGATTCAGGCACTTGTTGGGATGAGCACTGGGTATTGTATGTAAGTGATGAATCACTAAATTCTACTCCAGAAACCTATATTGCCCTGTATGTTCGCTACCTAAAATTTAAATTAAAAAAAAATAACAATGAAATAAATAAAACTTAAGAAAGAAATTACTTAAACTTTAAAAAAAGAAAACTTAAAAAATATGGAAACAAAAATAACAATGACTCTTTGTCCCACTTCCCAGTAAGAAATGAATTTCATAAACTCTTATCTTCACCTGTCCTCATTCATGACGGCTCATTCTCACAGCCTCATCCCCCTTCCCATCCTGATTCCCTGCTCTGGGGGGCTCCTCCTCCAGACTTGATTCCCTTCAACTGCTGACATCCCTGTTGGGCCTCTTAGGTTCTGACTTTAATGACACACTGGCACACTAACTGCTCAACTTTCTATAGGAAGAAAACAAATTTATACTTCGGTGAAAACTATGCATTGTTTACAGCACAACCTTCTGGGTCATCTGCTTCTATGTATTCTTTGCTTTGAGCTATTTCATAACTCTATAAATAAATATGTTGTTCTTTGAAATCTCTTTTGGACAAGGCAGTTTTAACATCTGCCTGGTTCCCTCTTTGAACAAGTTAGATAAAATCTTTTACATATACTCACTTTTACATCTATGTGAGAGTTGAGTTTACTTTTTCCTGAAAATCATGTTTTAGCACTTCTAGCCCATGACCTATACCCCTGACATTATAGGGGCACATGGACTGTAGAGCCTGCTGGGGCTGGGCCCCCATCTTTGCCCTCTCCAAAGCAGAGAAATCATTATTCTGCCACCCACCCTGGCAGTCTCCTCACCTTGCTGATTGTCCATTCCCCAGAATGAGGTGGAGGGTGGGAGGGAATATGCTTCCAAATATGCACTTTATTTAATTATAAATCATAAACTCATAACTTTACCGATAAACAATGTAAATTATAAAGGACATAACAAAAATTAAAATTTGAAGTGGATGAGATAAAAAATAAATAGTAAGAACAGTTATATTTTCTCTCATACCTTTAGGGGGACCTCCAAAATCTCATTTTCAACCATTCCTCTCCCTCCACCTCATCATCCCCAGTCCTCACTCTACAGCAATCCTCACCCTCTTTGAAGCTTCCAGTCAATGGTGCATTGTCACCACCACATTCCCCACCACCACCTTCTTCTTCTGCTAAGAGTCCATGCTTTTGCCCCATAAACATTCCCTTAGAAATAAAGAAGATCCTGAGCTCCCATTCTGTGTTACGTGCCTCCATTGTCCTCTATTTTGTGTGATGTGAGGAGCCATACTGTAACTCCACTCTGTGTGGAGTGGCCTGCTTCTAAGTCACTGGCTGATGCCAAGTGTATGAGCACAAGAGTTAAATGGGCACTCAAGACTTCCAGATAATCTTTCTTTATTTCTTTAGTGAAGTCAGTTGTCTATTCTCCCTAGCCTCTACATTATTTCTCATGTCTTTCCTCAACCACCGCCTCCCAGACCTTACCTCTTCCTTCACATTCAAATAAGAATCCTTCACCTCCCCACAGCAAAGTCTACCAGCTAGCCAGCAGCCCTATTGCCACCTCCTACAGCTATCTGCAATTCGTTTCTCAGCTCCTCAGATGCATGCTTATACTCACTCTTTCTGTATGTGTCTCGTTGTTTGTCCCTGCACCTACTCCACCCACGCATCTATCTCTCCATCATTCATCAGAAACAGTTCTGATCAGGGTCTCTAGGGACCTGCATTTTCCTAAAGCCAAAGGACAAATTCCTGTCCTCACCTCATTCTACCTCTCAGCAGCATGCAACATAAGTGTTTTCTTCCTCCTTCTTAAGAACATCCTTTACACACTTAACACTACTTGAATATGTTTGCTCTGAACTCTACCCTTCCTTGGGTTTCCCCCCACCTCCCAGGCCCCTACTACCATCTCATTTCTTTGAACTGGACCTTTCAATGTTGGGGGTGTCCCAAGGCTTACTTCTCTGCACTCTTTCCCAGGGTGATCTCATCCATTTCATGGCTTTAAATAATGTTATTTGCTGACAATTCCCAAATCTACATTTTCCAGCCCTGATAGCATGCCAATTCTCCACAAATACCTGCCTAATTGACATCTCCACTGGCTGTCCCATAGACATTTTAGTTCTATGTGCTACCAAGAACTATTGCTTCTCTTCTACCTACATTAAATTGCACTCTCTATACACTCCCTAGCTTGGCAAGTGGTATCATCATTCAACCTGTTGTTCAAGCCAAACTTTGCTCTCTTCCCATGTGACCACATCTAAGCCAAAAGTAATCCTTTGGGCTCTACCTCCTATATCTGACTGCTTCTTACCAACTATTTGGCTACAGCCTGAGTCCAAGCCACGATATCTTATTTGAATGACAGCTGGCTCCAGTCCATCTCCAGTTCAGTGGTATTCCTGAAGTATAGGCCAGATGAGGGTATGCTTCTGCCTAACCCTTCACCCTCCCACTACTTCCAGTTAAATGGCTTCCCACTGAAGCCAAAATTTAATCAGCACATTGCCAAGACCTACAAGGCCCTAAGTGAGGTGGCCCCTGACTCATTCTATAGCTTTTTCCCTTCCACACCTGTTATCTTTTTGTCCCTCCAACATCCAGGTTCATTCCCATCTCAGAGCCTCACACTTGCTATCACTTCTGCCTGGAATGACTTACTCCAGATGTTTGTATGGCTGCCTCCTTTCTATAACTACTGTATTCTAATTAGGAACTAAATGCCCCCTTCCTTGGTCTTCTATCTGACCTCTGAAGCCACATGAATGACTGAAAATTCCTCTTCCTCTTGTCCTTCAAGTATGAGGAGGGAGAAAGCATGCCCACCATACCTCACTCCAAGCCTTCCCACTAGACTCTTCTGGGCCCTTCTAAGTGGAAATATTCTCCAGAACAGAAGGACCATTTTTTCTTGGCATTTCCTAGATATCTCAACAAAAACATAAGCACAAAGCCCTCGGCCTGATCTTTGTGCATGTGAGGTTTGACCTTCTCATTCCCTGGTCAGTTGCTCAATACAACTGCCATGTCTACCTTCTTTTCCAAACTGACAGCTTTCTGATTTCCTTTCCCTGGCAATTTTCTCACTGAAGTCTGTATCAAATGACATCTTGAGTCCAGAGAATCAAAGGATTGGGTCACAAAATCCTCTGTGATGTCTCTAGTGATTGTCACCCTCAGTGATGAGTGATCGATTTTATTCACGTTTTATAAATAAGGAATCATGAGGCTTAGGGAATTTGGGAAATTGCCCAAGGTCCAGGTAGTCAGCAAGTGGAAGAGCAGGCAGTCAGCAAGAGGAAGAGCAGGTGCAGGTGATTGCAGGGTACTCACACAGATGCCTTCACAGGACGAAGGCCCTCATCCGCCAGCTGCAGGGAATGCTGGTTACCGACAGCTCACAGCTAGCCCCTCTCCAGGAATCGTGCTCCACTCAAGGGAGCTGTCTCAGCAAAGTTAGATCCCCTCCCTTGGGGCAGCCCACACCCCATTGCTGGTTTATACAAAGTGCAAAGCCACAGGCTCTCTTGCCCCAGACCAGGACAGCTCTGAGGGGGCCATCCCAGCTCAAAAGCTCCCTGTAACATAAGCAGAGGAGGCCCCTGTTGCAGCTGCAGCATGTTAACTTCTCCTTCCACACAACCCTGCCTTCACAGGGGTATTTCCAGGAGCAGGCCCCATAAACGTCCTGCACTCAAATCTCTGCTGCAGCTTCTGTGTCCCAAGGAGCCAACGGGTGGCATTATGATGATTAATTTTATCTGTCGACTTGGCTAGGCCGCAGTACCAAGATGTGTGCTCAAACACTAGTCTAGATATTTCTGCAAAGCCATTTTTTAGATGAAATTTACATTTAAATCAGCAGACTTTGAGTAAAGCAAATGATCCTCCATGATGTCGGTGGGCCACATTCAATCAGTTGAGGGATTAGGATAAAAAAAGACTGAGATCTCCAGAAAAAGGAGGAATTCTGCTTCCAGCCCGCCTTGGGACACATGCTGCAACATGGACCCCTCCCTAGGTTTCCAGCCTACCAACCTACCCTGCAAAATTTAGACTGGCCAGCCCCCACAATCATGTGAGCCCATTCTTTAACCACTCCCATACCTCTGCACACACACCTAATTGATTCTATTTCTCTGGAGAATATAATACAGGTGTCAAAGCAAAAATTCTGAATTTTTCTGATTTCAATGCTTCTTCTTTGCTTTGACCATGCATATCTAATTCATGCTTTGAAGCTGGACCTACATCCTGTTCTCCATTTCATCCCTCCAAATGGAAATTTGTACCTTTCCTCAGTCTGGTTTTGTATTGCTCCTGATTTCTCCCCTCTGATGCTGTGTCCGCCAGAAAGCCTGGCTCTAGAAGTTTCACAGACAAAAATCTATATATATGACTATCTACAGGAAGACACAAACATTGGAGAGGCAGAGTGGGGGCGGGACAAGGAGAAGATGGGCATAGGTTCTCATTAACTTCTCACAGATTAACTGAGGTTTGGAGGCTAGATATTTTCCTGCCCCAGTGGAAGAAGATGGCATTGAATCCTGCCTAAAAAAAAAAGTTGGATTTCTCAGGACCCACCAGACAAGAAAAGAGGTGCTTGAAGGCACTAGAGGGCATCGCATCTTACCTGCCATCCCTGGTCTATCTCAGGCAGTGCACCTGGAGAGGGTCGGCAAAGTAGGAGCATGACTTCCTGTGAGGCCCCTCGAAGTAAGTGGAGCACCTCCTACAAGAAACCAGAATCTGTGGTTGGATATGGTGGTATATCTCTCTGGCACTGTCCCCTTAATTTGCTTCTCGGCTCCAGAGAACTCTAGAGAATACTGTTATGGGCCTGATTTCCTAAGGTGAGAGAATCCAAAACCACTGACCTGAGGTTCCCATGAAGGTAACACACACACCCATGCTGGGCTAGAAGTGACCAGGGTCTGCCCAGGGCCTTTTCATGGCAGCACCTGTCAGTACTGATGCCTTTTCTTTACTGAGAGAGTGACTCAAACAAATAGCTATTCATCACCTCAAACTTCCTCTCCTCTCAGCAGCCCCCTCCTTTCAGGAGCCATCAGCATGTACACCCCACCACCCCAATCTCTAAAGCTTGATCCTTGGCCCTGAGCTGTCCTCCACAGCTCAGTTCAGGCACTCAGAACTTCTCACCTATGAAATTGCAGTGCCCTCCTCTCTGCTCCTTGCCTCCTCCAGTGTCACTCGCCCCCCCCCACAGTGTTCAAGAGAGCTCTTTCCAAAATGCAGACATAACCAGGTCCCTCTCCCACTGAACCCCCTCTCTGTCTCATGTCACATTCAACAGGCTCTGCAACACAGCACACAGGACCTGTTCTTACCTGCTGCTGCCTCTCACCCCACTCTCTCTCTCCCACCTGCTCCCGCTGCTCCCACATCCTAAGCTCCAGCTATGCTGAGCCTCTTCCTCCAACCCACTTTCTCAGAGCCCAGGGCTTCAAGTTGCCTTGGTAGTTCCTATTTCCTATCTACACCAGGATTTCTCAAACTCTCAGTACTGACATTTTAGGCTGGATAACTCCCTGTTGTGGGGGCTGCCTTGTTCATTGAAGAATGTTAAGCAACATCTCTGGTCTTTGCTCACTTGATGTCCCTGACACCTGCCATTGTGACAACCACAAATATATCTGAACTTTGCCAAATGTTCCTTGAAAGGCAATATGATTCCAACTTGAGAATCACTGATCTGGACACCACCTAATACCCCCTGAGTGGCAATGGACTTCCACAGAATGTGCTTCCTTGCACTGTTCCCTGGGGCAAGCATTTTTGTTTCTCATGACACTTGTTTTACACAGTCATTTCTGTTTTCTTGTTTGTCCCACCCCACTACAGGCTCTGAGAATATATGAACTCGTGCCTCTGTGTCTTTAGCTCCTCACAGAGCTGCTGACCCAGGTTTGGTTCTCAGAAAATAGTTCTTGGCTCACAAAATAAAGAGATAAAAGTATTGCCACCCAACATATGCCATCCTGGGGATTTTCCATCCCTCACCATGCAGCCCAAAGCCATTCTCCACCTTGCTCTGTGTTCTGGAGGTGGGTCTGTGCAGACTGCAGAGAAGCTTCCTATTGGGCTCAGCCAATGGAAGCATGGGTAGGGATCAGAGCTAGGAAGAAAAGGATGTGGGTACGTATTTTCCCACCTTCCTCCACATGGGATTGTTACAGAATGGCTAGGTCCCTCAGTAAATGTCATAGCTTATGTCATCAGGTCCACTTCACCAGCTTTCTCAGTTTCTCTGGTTGAATAATTGCTCCTTCCTATATGCTTTTGGACTTGGGAGGGGTAGAGAGATAATTGCACCCACTGTTCCTAGCTCCAGGGCTCTACGCTCTCCCTTGAGCTTCCCAACAACCAGATCACAGCCTTATTCAATTCTCCTCATATGACTCACTTTCAATCCAGGACCCTGACTGATGGAATTGTGCAATATTCCATTGAGATACTGTGCTATAACCATTGAGAAGTGTCTACTTTTATTTTAAGTGGGATCCATGCAGGGCTTCAGCTCACAACCCTGATATCAAGACCTGAGTTGAGATCAAGAGTCAGATGCTTAACTGACTGAGCTACCCAGGTGCCCAGAGAAGTGTCCACTTTTTACTCTTTTTTTAAATTACATTTTTTTTATCATATGTAAAAACTGGGACAACCGTTGTATGCAGGACAACCAATGTAACACTACACATCAAAATGTAAATTTAATAGAAAAATGAGAAGAAGGGCAGAAAGGGACCCACTGTAGTCTCTTCAGCCCACACACCCACCTCCTAGAATGTTTGGAGGGCTTTAGTCAGCATACAGCTAGGGTTTGTCTTCAGTTTCATTATAAACCTAATTAGAAGCAAGGCTTACTCAAGGTTAGCTATTCAAGAACTGAGACAGAAAATTAAATGTGAGAATGTTCTACCAATTGCTTTCTTTGTATGATCCAGGTTCCAGGTATGCTTTCAAGAGGCCAGAGTACTCCTTATGGTGGGAGAACCTGAAAGAGGCATGGTTGGTGTCAATGTGCATACATATGGGCTGCATGGTCTCCTACCTGGAAAACAAGGCCTTCTGTGGGCCTTCCATTCACAGCCAGGATAATGTCACCAGCTGCAATGGTCCCATTCTCCTCAGCTGGCTGCCCCGGGAAGAGTCTCTTAATCCTCACAAGATCATTCTTGAGATGACTGTAGCTCTCTCTTCATCTGCACGAAGCTGAATCCCAAACCACGCATTTTTTTTCAGAGTGACTTCAAACTTTGGTCCTGTGTTGTGGGAGGTGGACAAGATAAATTCCTTAGTAGATTCCCAATGAAATTAACTAGCCTTAAAATGTAAATGGTCAAGTAGATGAATTATTTCTGTTTTGCACAAAAAGATTTCATCTTGCTCATTTTTATGATAGAGTCCATTCCGATGCTAAGGGAAATAAAAGGCAAACTGCAAATGTGAATCACATGTGTAATTTCAGTTCTCAAATAGCTACATTTTAAAAAGTATGAGGGAATAGGTAAAATAAACTTAACCATATAGTATATGTAACCAATATAGCTACAATATGGCCATTTTAACAAGTAATCAATATGAAAAAGTATTGAGATATTTTGCATCCTTATGAACTAAGTCTTCAAAAATCAAATATATATTTTATCAATTTGGATTGGCTATATTCAAGTACTCAATAGCCATACATAGCAAGTAGCTGCCTATTGGACAAAGCAATTATAGATAATCAGTAAGGTTTATATGTAAATATATAGTTTATAGACATATACAATATGCCTATATCATTTAGTAAAACCTATATATATTCTTATTACTCCTTTATTTTTTTAAAAGATTTTATTTATTTGTTCATGAGAGACACAGAGAGAGAGGGAGAGAGAGAGGCAGAGACACAGGCAGAGGGAGAAGCAGGCTCCATGCAGGGACCCCGATGTGGGACTTGATCCCGGGACCCCAGGATCATGCCCCCGGGCTGAAGGCAGGCACCAAACCACTGAGCCACCCAGGGATCCCCCCTTACTCCTTTAGAACCTCAATTGTCTTTAGTATATTTGAAACAAAATTTTGCATAATTAGACTGTGGAGAAAATTCTGGTCAACTCTGTCAAAATGTTTTAGCTGCTATTTTGTTTAGCCACGTGGACAGACCATAAAACAAAACAGCTCCCTCCAGGCAGCAAAGACAGACACTGCCCAGGAATCTCACTAGTCCAAGAAGAGGCCTCTGGGTCTCTCCTAGTCTGCCTTCCATTTGGCAATGAATCGATAGGACAGAGCACTGTCTCATAAACTTTAATTGGGGTGAGAATGAAAGCATCTGAAGCTTTTAGTTCCAGGTATAACATATGACCAATTTCACCATCACTGCCATGAGACACTCCCCCCATCTCATTTGATAGTGAGTTTGTCGGAGGGCCTCTCTGGAGTGAGCACAGGAGCCATGAAAGAGGAAACAGACTTGTCTTATGCACGCGTGCCCCACTCCACCCAACCCCATCACTCATTATGGCTACTGTGCATCCAACCTGACTCACATCTTCAGGAAAATCCCTAACAGGAGATTGAAAAATGATTAAGGTCCAACTCATGAAATACTAAGGGAGTACATGTTTTCCTAGCAAGAAACAATCACAGGGCAGTGCAGAGAGGCAACCCATCAGAAGATATGCCACGATGTCCCTGCAAATTGATGGAGATTTACTGTTTTACATGATGATAAAAATAAGCTCTGAGCACCTTCCCCTCTCAGTCTGCCTGCCTCGTCACATCCCAGATCTTTTGTGGTGGATATCTTGGCTAAAATGTGGAGATTTGGTCAGAAAATGCCTGACCCTTTTGTTCCAATTTTATTCCTAAATATTTATACACAAGCATTCAGACAGCTAATCGAGAGACCTCAGAAGGCATGGAGGAGAATCATGCCTGGCAATCATTTTGGAAAAATGCATTTTTTCCCCCGAAACTTATTCCATTAGATTGGTTTCCACTGCCAATCTGAATGCCAGCTGCATCATGCTTACTATCTTTTGAGAACCCAGAGGAAGTCTTCCTACCTTCCCTTTAGAGTTGAGAATTCAAGAGTGGCAGAGGATGACAAAACAATAGTAACACTCAATTCTCTCTCCTCTCACCATCTGTCACTGAGACACAGCCTGCGGGCCTGCCAGGCCAGGCTGTTGCCAAGGAAACCGCCATGCATTCATCTCCCATCCTGTCTTTAGCAGAAGGACACTGTTGGGCAGTCCTGGGGCCTCTTCTCTCTAAGACGAGTCTTGCAACCTGGAAGATGGGTGAACAAACTCCATTTGCACATGATATGGCAACCAGGAGGCTCTCCCTTTACCCTGCAAGTGCTTCTTAAATTTCTGATACTTCCAATAGCAGCTTCATTTGAATCTCAAATTAAAATCTCCAATCTAACCCACTTGTTGGGATCCATAGCCATATTTTCATCTGTTGGACAAACATTCCTGGAGGTAACACATGTAGCTCCATTTCAATGCATTCAAGGCCAAATTCATCTTCCCCTCTCTCACCCTCACTATCCACTCTTTGTTCTGCCTAAAACATTCCTCCCCTTGTATCTGCTTTCTCAGAACATGGAACCATCTCTCAACTAACCTCCCAGTGGCCACACGTGCCAGGATATAGCTCGCCCCCTTCTCCAGCCCGCCCTACAGCTCTCCAAATGCCTAGTTCCTAAGACTTGCCTGTTCACCATCAGAAACATCTTCCCCAGGACTCCCTCTCCTTCATTCCCTCTCCTACTGTCAGTGCCCAGCAGGACTGTGACAAGCTCTAGTTAACCTGGCTTCCTGGGCCCTAGTTCCTCCTCCTCAGGCCATTCCCCCCATTGTTACACATGGTTTGATCTAAGACACAAACTGAACATGCAACACTCTTGATCAAAAGTCTCTAATGTTTCCCATCACCTAGAATTCAACTCCTGGCAGGTATCCCAGACCTATGCCAATCTGGCCTCCCACTTTCTTTTGGTTTGATTTCCCACCCTTCTTCCCCACACACTCTTGTTACACAAAGCATACTTCAGGAACCAGTGGCTAGATATCACCTGGACGCTTTTTAGAAATATTAAGCTTCCATTCAGGGGACTTGGCCTGCTAACGTCCTTCTGTTGCCATTGTCATTCAGCACCAAGCCCATGATCCCAGAGCAACAATTCCTACCTGTCATCACTGCCAGCAAGTTTCTGGCAGCAAACAAGAAGAATCTTCTCTAATCAGGTTCATTAGCAAAAGTCTAAGGAACAGCAAGTACTAATAAATTATGACTCTGTTCTCAAGATAGGTCAACCAAGGTGGCCAGTATGAGTCAATTTCACTGCGAACCAGAAGATTGCTTTGGGAAAGGAAGCAAACAGGGCCCCTCCTGCTCCCTCCTAGAGGGCAATGCCAGCTCTGTGGTTTAGGACACTGAAGCATGAAAAGGCCCCAACCCTCAAGCCAGAGAACTGAACGCAGCATAGTAACATCCAGATGTTGCTTGGGCATCACATAGAATAAGGAGTCTATAAGGGGTCAATGCCTTCAGCTCTGAGTTTTACTTCACTGCGATAAGAATACCGGGACAATATGATCTGAATTTACCCAGGGAGATGGGACTAGCATGAACTGGAGAGATGGTGTCAGCAAGTACAAAGGCCAGCTGGTGACAGGGCCTGAGAGCAGATGGAAGCATTGGTCAGTTTGGGCTGGAGCAGAGAGTGTGAGGGGGCAGCCAGAGCCAGGTGGGAGATGTCGCTCCACCATATCAGCTCTGTTCAGCTGTCTGATTTCAGAACCTAGGCAAGTGGAAAGCTAGCTTTTCAAGGGTCTTTGCAGGGGACAAGGTATTCTTCTTGGGAAATCTGTCTACTTCCTCCTGGCTTTCACATCACCATAGAAAAGTGAAGAAGTAAAAGAGAAAATAAGACAAAGAAGAAAGTCTTGTTTTGTTACCTCCTCATCTGCCCACCCAGAGGCAACCACAGCTTCTGATGTGTCCCAGAAAGCTCTGGAAGGAAGGACAGCTCCCACTAATGCGGCACTCACCTGCCCAGAATCCTTGAGGCACTGCACAGCCTGCTTGTGGGTGAGGCCACACAGACCCACTTCATGCACCTGCAAGAGCCAGTCACCTGGAAAGGGGACAGAAGTCATTTCTCCAAGCTCTGGAGGCTGTAAAAATGACTGTTCCTGAAAGTCCCTGCCCAGCACTCTTCCATGCAGCCTCAAAGGGGAACAGGAAGCAGAGTTGTGAGGAGTCCCCACAGGGCCTGGCTGCCAGCCACCTCTCTGAACACCTTTATAGATCAATGACACAGACATTTCTATTATTGGTTCACAGAGGGGTTGAGCCAACTCTGTATAACTAAATCCTTTCTCCTATTTTCCTGTGAAACCATTTTTGAAAGCACTTTCAAGTCACTTAGGGGTAATATTTATATCTCCAGGATTTTTTTTACATTTCAAAACAGGCCAGAAAGACCTGGTTGATGCTAGGAACAAGAGAATTCTTGAGAAAATAGATAACTAAGATCCTGGGTGCCCTTTCTAGCTCAACTTGCCATTTTGGAGAGCAATAAAAATCACCCCCTTGCTTCAGAGCAGAGGACATGAGGAAAGGCAGAGAGGAGACTTGTCGTTGTCCTCTATGGATACTAAAGTGGGGATCATCAATGCACACTCTGCCCTCCACAGGAAGCACTACTTTCTCCCTTGAAGGCCAAACAGCAACAAGCTTATTTAAAATCACATATTTTAGAATCACCTTATGCTCCCCAGTGTGCCACTACAAACATTTCATCCCCTTGTTAACTTATCATGGAGGTAGGCCAGGTTGAGTCAGCCCCTTTCCCAGGTGAGGAAACCAGGACCTGGAGAGGCAATCATTTGCACAAATTCTAGGGTGGGAGTGAGGCAAGGCCTGGAGGCTGTAGCTCCCAGGCCAGGGCTCATCACACCACAGAATGCAGTTCCCAACGTGACTCCATCCCTCATCCCGCTGGATCTGTCCTTCCTTGGCAGCTGGCCCTCCAGGAACAATGGATTTCATGTAAATACCTCCATAGGGCACACTTGTGTTAATGCCACCGTGGAAAACACAATGAAAGTGTCACCACCTGTCTGCTCCCTCCTGACAGAGCCTCCCTAATCTCCCAAAGAGATCCCCCATCTGGCTACCACTCTATCCCATTACCTCATCTCCATGTGACATCTAATATATTCACTTGTTTGTTCAAACTACATTGTCTGCTGTGCAACAAGGTTAGATGTCCATAAGGAGTATAACAACACAGCTGGCATGAGGGAGCTGTACTGCTTCCAGCCTAGCACCAGCCTATAGCAAGTGCTCAGAAATCCAAGTCACATCACTGCACCATATGGTCTCTCCCTAAGCAGCAAGCAGCATAGGTATAGATGCAGTCACAGGCCCAGAGGCTGGCCTGGCAGGTCCTATATGCTTGAGTCTTGGTTTATAGATACAATCCTAGAATTAACTACAATTTTATTATTCCTGTACAGTTTTTTCCCTTTCTCCTCCAAGGTCTGCAGATAAGCTCAGAAACCAATGTAAAGTGGCCATCTTGAACTCTGGTCTGGCCAATATGACTATTCTGCCTTTGGAAGCAGGAATATTAGGCTACACTGTGACCCTTCTCTGAATGACCATGGATCACCTCACTCACCTTTGGCTTATGTCCCTACAGTCTCACTCTGCTGCCCTTTCTTTGTTGTGCAGTATAACCACAGAGCCAGGACCCATCACCCAATCCCACCCACACTGCTTGGAGTGCCCAAGTCTGTCCTGCACCTCCCAGTTTCCCTTTGAATACTACCCCTGTCCCCCACAGAGGCCCCATTGACTTTCTTGGCTCCCTACTCCCCATGTGCTGCTTAAGCACATTACCAGAGGTTGCCATATGAATGGGATGCCCACAAAGGCTCAAGATGAACATTTTTTACAACTGTGTACTTCCCAATCTTGCCTAATAATTCTTACAGTCACACTGAATCCAAGTGTCTCATCTTCTTTAACAAGTTTCACAAAGTAGATTTCATTGGCATTGATTTCTGAAGGTGGTGGAGGACAAGAAGAGCCAGCACCCTGCCCCTGAAAAACAAATGAAAATAAAGAAGGCATGAAGATACTTGCCCTCCATAAGCAGATAGCAACTCTTCATTCTCGTCAGTATTGCATTACAGAAAGAAGCATGAGTTTCAGGGCTCAACAAGGATCATTCCCAGCTTTATCAGCTCCTCCCTATATGATCTTGGACCAGTCCCTTGGTCTCTCCACCCTTGGTTTCCCAATCCACAGAAAATCCCCTTCTCAATGTGACTGTGAATCATACCCAACACAGAGCAGGGCGCAATAAAGATAGTTACCCTCCTGTTTCCACTCAGGATGCAAATATCACTTGGAGAACTAAAGCAATCTAGGCACTTCCTGGTAGCTTCACACATGACACCAGCTAAGTGATGTTCGACACCAAATACACAGCAGCTTCTTGAGCAGAAGACAACCTCAGGAGGAACTCCAGTCATCCCTAGCAAGAGTAGCTGCACTGGGGCTCTACTTAACAGTGGTTGAATACGTGACAGAAGGACAGAAGACAAGAATTATCTACCACATGGCAGGAATTTAGCTCAGTGCTATAACAATAACCATGGGTGATTTGTTTATTCATTCATCCAATCATGCAACGACATTAATTGAGCACTGGTTATATGTCAGGCATTGTGCAAGTTGAGGGAACAGCACTGATAAGACAGACCTGCCCCTACTGAACTACTGTTTAGTGGGGGAGAAACTATTAATGAACTGTGGCCAGAAGATGGAGCTGTGAGTACTCCCAGCCTTCTGTCTTATCCCCATCCCCCACTCCCTCCACCCCCCACTCCCGGGTCTGCTTAGTGCTTCCTGGCTCACCATATTGGAAAATACCATTAATACAATAGGAAAATAAACAGACTGAAGTAAACTAGAAAATTATCAACCCAACAGAAGAGGTTCCAAAGAGATTTGTATAGAACCGATGAAACTCCAATTGTTCCAGAGACACTCCACACTGCACAGTCTTGCAAGGTGTTTTGCCCAAACTTTAAAATTCAAAGAGTAAAGTAACCACTGAGGTTGAAGTCCAAAGCGGGAGTGTAAACTCACCTATCCCACAGAAAGTTACTTGCCCACAAAGCTGATCCTGTGGCCCAAAAGAGCCTGGTTTTTATGATTTTTTTTTTTTTATGATAGTCGCAGAGAGAGAGAGAGAGGCAGAGACACAGGCAGAGGGAGAAGCAGGCTCCATGCACCAGGAGCCTGATGTGGGATTCGATCCCGGGTCTCCAGGATCGCGCCCTGGGCCAAAGGCAGGCGCCAAACCACTGCGCCACCCAGGGATCCCAAGAGCCTGGTTTTTAAAAAAAAAAAAAAAAAAGCCTGGCTTGTATAGGTTCTACAGCCTGTGCCACGGTCAGCTGTGGCTTTGGAACACCACTGCTCCCTTCAACTGCTCACCAAAAATCAGCTCATGGGTTCATACAACCTCAGAGGCCCCAACTTGAATCCCTCTTGGCCCTGCTTCCTGTCAAGGGGGGGAGCGCCTTCTGAAGTACAGCCCCCAGGGTGAAGGCTTCTGTTCTGGAGTCCAACTTGTTGGATTCAAATCCCAGCCCTGCCTCTTACTCCTTGAGAGACTTTGGGTTTGTTCCTTTCCTCTCTGTGCCTCAGGCACCCCACGTGCCAAAAGAGTTGATGATGATAATAATGATTGTATAGGCTTGTAATGAAGCTTGTGTGATAGAACACATGTAGGTTACTCAGGATGCTGCCTGACACATGGTTACTCTCCCAATAAATGTCCATTGTTAGGAGTATTCTCTTGCTGACCCGTCATCCTGCTCTTCAAGGGGTACACATCCAGCTGAGCCCATGGCCAATTAGGAAGGAGCTAACATTCCTGGAGCACTGCGCGAGGCCCTTCTATCTCCACAGCTCTGTGGACCGACACTATCTCTACTCACAAAGGATAAAAATGAGGTGGAGAGAGGTGGGATAACTCACCTGTTTCAGTCCCAGCAAGAAAGCAAAAGTGTACACGCTCAACCTGGGCCATGGAGGAGAGTTTATATGAGGAGGCCTGCTTTCAGAGATGTTGGCATTTAAAGAAACCTAGAAGAACAGCCAGGCACCCTGGGGCTAGAAACAGTAGGTGCTATTCCCTTCTCTGAGCCTGAGAAGTGAGAGGAGGAAGTGGCTGATGAAACCTAGAGAGTAGTTCTAAGGCAAAGAGCACATGATAGGAGCTGTGCTTTCAGGAGAGGGACATAACCTATCTGAGCACAGGTAGAGAGTGACAATATTGTCCTCACCCCCAAATGCTGGCTGCCACCATGGTATGAAATAATAGCAAATATATATATTGGCCTCTCCTCACTTCCTGGCATAGAACTCTCTTTACCCTTGTAATTTCCTAAGTCTTAAGAGACTAGGAGCATCTCTTGCTCTAATATCTGATCTTTGACTCTAGTTCCTGACACAGAGCTCTCAAATCCCTTGGAATTTCTTGGATTATGGTCTTTTCTTCTAAAGAGGTAGCTCTTGGTGGGTTTCTGGATAGCTTCAGTATGGGGGCTAGTTACCAGAAAGACCAAGCCATGATTCAAAGCTTGGAACTTTCCACCTCACCCCACTCCCCATCCACAGAGGAGAAGAGAGGCGAGGGAGATTAAATTATTAATTTAATAATTATCCATCATGCCCATGTGATAAAGTTTCCATAAAAATACCAAAAGCATGGGGTCCAGAGAGCTTCTGGGTTGGTGAACATATATATGTGCTGGGAGAATGGCATACCTCAACTCCACAGGGACAGAAGTCCTGAACTCAGGACCATTCTAGACCTTGCCCCTATGTGTCTCTTCATTGACTGTTCATTTGTACCCCCTTAAAACATCCTTTATAATAAATGGGAAGTAACAAGAAACTGTTTTTCCTGGATTCTATGAGCTGCTTTAGGAAACTATCAAACCCACGGAGGGGACATGGGAACCTCCAATTTGTAGCTAACTTCAGACAAGGTAACCTGGGGACCTACTACTTGTCATTGGCATCTCATATGGAGGCATTCTTGTGGGGACTGAGTGTAGTGTCACAAAACCTGTGAGATCTGGTGCCAATTCCACTCAGTTACTGACAAAATTCCTTCTGGGGTGAAAATTGCAATGGTGTCAGAGGTGTGGTGAGTGGGGTCCACCCTCTATCCCAAAGCTGGCCTTGTCTTCTTCTTCACTGCTGTTATCAAGAGCAAAACCCTTGAGTTGCAGCTCAAGGACCAACTACAGACCAAGAATATGTGGGATGTCTGTCCATTCATTGCCCTTGGTGGCAACCAATGTTATTACCAGTAACAATTATAATCAGTGGCTGAGGACACTGGAGGTTCAAACACTGAGTCCTACGACCCAAGCACTGCACTAAAAGCTTTGCCTTTTCCCCTTCATTTTCTTCTCAAAAACCACGAAATGCAGGCATTTATTTCTATTTGCATATGAGAAAGCTGAGCATCAGATGGATTAAGTACATTCTGTCTAGCTGGCATGGCAAAGAGAGAGCAAAGAGGTACCTTGGAGCCAGGACTGTTGGGCTCTGCACCCTGTTCTCTTTCCTCCAAATTCTAGAGAATGAACCAAAGAGATGATTACCTTTAATGGCAGAGGAGGAAGCTGAAGTCTCTCCCTGGGCAGTAAGCTCTGAGTCTGAGCCACTTCAAGCTCTTCAGAATTCCCGCCCCCCCCCACCCCCGGTCTTGTGTGTGTGACAAGGAACTTGGTGCCCATTGCTCAGGCTGTCTGTAGAGAAGACCCCAGAATTGGCCATGTTATTCTTTTCCTTCCCTGGAGTATTTCCACAGATACCTATAAAAACAAGCCAATAAGTCAACAGCTTGGCAAGGCTGGTATCTCAGTGTATATGGGATTTTCCTCCAAAGACAGAGAGACCTTTTATGGCTGCTGGGAATGATGTGAGTTTAGCACCTCAGGAAGGATGATGCATGTAGAATAGAGAAAAGGAAGATTCTGGGTGTGATTTAAAAACCTAAGTAGAGGTTTGTGACCTAACGATGAAAACATAGGAGCAGCTGGAGAGTTAATAATGCCAGCTCTATCTTGTTAATTTCTTGTCAGGTGATGGCAATATACACACACATGCACATGTACATGCACAAGCACACACATTTTATATGTATATATCTGCCCATCTTTTCAACACATCCATCAGGAAAGTGTTATTACACTTCAAATATGAGAAAGCAGAGTCAAAAGGATTAAGTAGCTTGTCCGGGATCTCACAGCCAGCATGTGGTAGTGAGCCCTTACATTCAGCCTCTTCCAGAAATCCCACTGAGCACAGCAGTAATCAACATGTGATCCAAAGACCAACATGTTAGGTCCTTTGGGGAGGACTTGGTAATAACAAGATGGTGGACTCCTTGTGGGCAAAGGCTGAGCCACTGATTCCTATTTACCCCATGTCTGACCCCTGACCTGGCACAGAACAAGGGAAAGAACATGAGGTTGTGAATCAATAGGTAAAAGCTGGGGCAAGGTACCTAACATTTCTGGACCTCAGTTTCCTTTGAATGAAAGTAGAGATTATATCAGCTACCTCTTGGGGTGTGTAAGGCTTAGAAATTACATATGAGGGATCCCTGGGTGGCGCAGCGGTTTGGTGCCTGCCTTTGGCCCAGGTCGCGATCCTGGAGACCCGGGATCGAATCCCACGTTGGGCTCCCGGTGCAAGGAGCCTGCTTCTCCCTCTGCCTGTGTCTCTGCCTCTCTCTCTCTCTCTCTTTCTCTCTCTGTGTGACTATCATAAATAAATAAAAAAAAATTTAAAAAAAGAAAGAAATTACATATGAGAAAGAGAGATTTTACATGCAGAGAGAGATAAAGAGAAATTAGCTTAGTACATAGTAGAGCTCCAGTAAAGGTATTTACTATTAATATGCTAACATTAGCTGTCTAACAAATGTACATGGGAGGAAGGCTGAATAGTCTGATTTTCTTTAGATACGTATATAGAACATACAAGTAGGTTTACTTGTGATACTAACTCATTAGCACCCACTCACACATTGAATGAACTGTAATTTAATGAATTAGATTAGAAGTTATCCAAGCCTAAAAGTATTCAAGAGGGAATGGTGGGGCCACCGTTCCGTAATGCCTTATTCCTAGAGACCTCATTCACAGATTCTACTATCATTGCCCTTCTGACAATGTTGGAAGCATCTGTTCATTTTCTTCCATACCTTCCATGAGAGATGAGGACGGAATTTATGATTGAATTAAAAAGTTAAGCTGTACGTGAGCCTGCCTCATGGAAGTACAAACTAGGAGACCTTCTCTGGGGAATGAAAACTCAATCTGTCACAGAGAGTGATGGCTGCCTATGATGCGAATGTTATCTGTCCCATCTCTGACCTCCAGTCTAGAGCACCTGCCCAAACACCAAGCTAACCAGATAGAAATTCACAGTAGTGAAGCCTCTGCAGCTGTGCAAGGAACCCCAGCTACGGTAAGGCAGACTTACCAACAGGTAACTGGGGCCCTGGGTGGAAAGACATGTATTCACAGGCATTATGAGATGCTCATTGTCCAGAATTCTAGTGTGAAACTTGTTTGAGCCTTGCAGACTCTGGGTGCCAGTTTTTGACACCTTCCAACACCATGGCCGGCCTTAAAGGACTCTGAATCTGTTGGACCCTGGCTCACGGGTGCCAACGTGTCCTGGTGGACGCCCCAGAGACTCAGACCCCAGACAGGCAGATGCAATCAGCAAGAGGGTTTATTGAACGTTTGCGCAAATGGGCTCTCCGCCTCCGAGGAGGAAAAGAGCCCCGATTAGCAATTACAGGTATCTTTTAAAGGCAAAAGGAAAGAAACCGCCTAAAGACAAAAGAACCGCGGGAGTCGCATAGCATCCAGGTTGATTTCACAGAGGGTCAACATGAACCTATTCAGGGACATTCCAATCAGGGTGTGGGGGGAAATGGTTTTCTTATTGTGAACAGAATGCTTTTAGTTGCTAAAATTTCAGGAAGGCGCCTGGATGGGCTGCCTCTGGATTAGGGCTGGCCCTACTTACAAGGGGGGAGGTTTCTTCAAATCAATCCCAACTCTGCTGCATTATTTCCTGACAACAAAAGTTGGTTTCATTCCTCCTCTCTGTCCTATTTCTGTGTAAAATATGGAGGGAAATGCAAGAAAGTCTAAAATATTATGGGAAGAACAGTGACAGTGTTGGGAAATCCAACAGAGACCAGGAACTGGGACTGGTGCTTTTCAAGAGCTAGGGCCAAACCGCTGAGTCAGCTCCAACCACAGTATGGAAGTCACGTGACCAAGGCTCCAGCTTTGCCACCTCCCATCCCCTGTGGCTTCTGTCCAGGGACAGCTGTGACACCAGGAGAAAACATCTGGCCATGGTGTAAAACATGTGCAATAGTGAGAGATTGCGCATGGTTTTCAGAGGACAAGGCAAATGGGGTGCCTACATTTAAGACCTAGAAAATGTTGGCTGGTGTGATGTGAAGCATTTCTGTACATAAGGGGAAATTGTTCAGACAACCCAGAATTTGAGAAAGAAATCCAGAAGCTTGGATTTACAGGCAGTCTGTGGTTCAATCACAGGATCATTCAACCAAAACTCAGTGGTGATTCCAGGTAACTGGGAAGGAACAGAATGTTAACATCCCCCATTACTCCCTTTATTTTTTCTTTTAAGATTTATTTATTTTTTTTTTTTTGAGATGGAGGTCACAGAGAGAGACAGACAAAGAGAATCCCAAGTGGACTCCACCCTGAGTGTGGAGCCTGACAGGGACCCAATCTCACCATCCTGAGATCATGACCTGAGCGGAAACAAAGAGTTGGATGCTCAACCAACTGCACCATCCAGGTGTCCCACATCCCCCATTACTTCTACCCTCATCCCTGAACCTGCTTCAAATAAACATAACCATATTATTTTTTATATGGGCAACTGTTGAGCTCTCCTATTTACCTAAAGGATAAATAAAAACATATTTTAAAAACACTTTATTCTTTTGGATGATCTCCAACAGGCCAAGTTTTAACCAGGTAAGACCAAGAACTGCTCTCCAGTCTCCTCCCCAGCTGATTGCTACATCCAAGCCCCAACTCTGTAAAACCCTGGAGCAGCCACTTTCCATAAGGACTTGGGTGACAAAAACAATGTCCTCCATGTCATGCAAGAAAAGTGGACAGAAAAACACACAATGGCTGTACTGGTCATATCTGATAATGAATTGGAGTAGGCTGCTCCAATCAGGCAGAGCAAGCAGCAGTAGGGCCCATTCTGCCTGTAAAACTGCAGAGCTTATTGTTTTGTGTTACAGCAGTGCTTCTTTGCAAGCCACCACCATGAAAAAAGCAACATCAAACCTACATAAACTTAAAGATCTAATACCTCCTGGTAATGACAAACTTCTGAAAGTAGAGGTGGTTCTCCAGCTTCTGAACACAGGTGAGGACATACCTTTTGACTGAGAAATGATTAATTCTATGCTGTCAGGAGAATTCTGAATCATTCTAACAGCCATGTCGAACGTGAAGCCCTCCAGACTGATGTGATTCAAGGCTAGTATCTGCCCTCCTAGAACAATAAAACATCTTAATAATGCCATCAAGGAAAGAAAGAGCAGCTCCTCAAGGCAATGTCTTTGGCAATTTAAAAGACATACCTGGTTTGAGCTTTTTAGCTTTTGCAGCTGGTCCTCCAGGTATAATAGAGGATACAAAGATGCCAGGGTCAACTTTGTCAACCTCTTCCCCCTCGTTAATGACAAAGCCTGTAATCCAATGATATTTAATAAGATAATACTTGGTGAATTTTGTAGCCCAGAGAGGTTAGGTTATTTGCTTGAGATCACACAGCTACCAAGTGGCACTGCTGATGTTTGTAGCTAAGCCCTCTGATTCTCAAACAGCTCTCTCCACTCTGTGAGACACATAGAGAAAAGAAAGCTGATTGCCCCCACCTCCAACTAGTAAGCACAGCTAAACTAGGAACACAGCCTGTCAATGTGTACTGGGTTTTGCCCCAGTAGATAATCAGAATAGGAAAGAGACTTTTCTTTTTGAATCTAGCTAACCCACAATGTTATATTAGTTTCAGGAGTAGAGCACAGTGATCAACAAGCTCACACATTATGCTGTGCTCACCATGTGTGTAGCTGCCATCTGTCTCCATACATCACTCTTACAATGTCGTTAACTGTATTCCTTGTGTTGTGCCTCTCATTCCCCTGACAGTTCATGCCATAACTGGAAAGCTGTATCTCCCACTCTTCGTCACCCATTTTGCCCAATCCCCTATCTCCCTCCCCTCTAGAACCATCAATTTGCTCTCCATATTTATGGGTCTGATGTTGCTTTTTGTTTATTCATTTCTTTTATATTCCACACATAAATGAAATCATATGATATTTGTGTTTCTCAGTCTGACTTCTTTCACTTAGCATAAGACCCTCTAGGTCCCTCCACACTTTTCCAAATGGCTTGATCTTATCCAGAAAGAGATGATTTTTAATAGAGTATCTTGTCTCAGTGTTTTGTTTCTTGTGTGGTTTTTCAGGGCCTTAAAATGTAATAAACAATAAAGATCTGAAAAAGATTGTTCCCTCCCATAACTAAGAATCTAAGTATATAGAGAAAGGTTGTTGCATGGTATTAGGATAAAAAGTCTCTTTCTTTTTTGAGAGAGAGAGAGAAAGAAAGAATCCTAAATAGACTCCACGCCTAGTGTGGAACCTGACTTGGGGCTTGATCTCATGACCCCAAGATCATAATCTGAGCTGAAATCAAGAGTTGGATGTTTAACTGACTGAGACATCCAGGCACCCCTAACAAGTTTTTTTCTGTCTTGTACTTAGATTATCAAGCTATAAATCCCCAAATCTTACCAGGCTTTAAAGGAAAACTTTGCCCTCAAAATCCCACTATTTCATAGGGACACTTAAAGGAAACTAAAGAAGTGATCCCTGAAAAAGACAGGTGGGGGAGAGTCAGGAGAGGGCAGTAAAAAAGCCAAAAAGAGGACCAGGACATGCCTCCCTTCTGCCTGGAGAGAGAGACTGTGTCTCATCTGCCAGAAACCGTCCTACCAAAACCACGATGTGGGTCCTGGTTCAGTGTCACATGCACGATTTCTCATTCTGGTTCAGCTCTAAAGTCCTTTCTCCTGTTATTTTGTGGCCCTAGAGGTGAAACAAAGCCCCAAGTTGTGCTTTTCCCCCAAATTATCTGAGACCTAATACAAAAGGGGTAAACAGTATTTTACATATGCATGTGCTTATGCACACACAATACTGGGAATGAACATACACTTCTGATCCCCATCACTGGGTCAGCATGCTTGCTTTGGCAGCAGATACACCCTCACTGGGTCAGTGTTGGCTCATCAAGAACAGAGATGAGAGTGGGGGCAAGAGACATGGTGCTCGTTTTCTATACAACTTACCATAGCTAATTTTTTCTGCATTGGTCTTAGGTCAAGACCAAATTTGAGCAGAGATGTACTTGTGGGCAGTGAACAGTAAAACTAAGGTGAAAGTACAGAGTTAGGATAGCAAAGCCTTCCTCTCTTGAGTCTCTAATACTCAGAGGCAACATGGCCCCATATATCAGCAAAGGCACCTGCAGGATTTCCCCCAGAGCTGAAGTCTTGAATCAGAGCTTAAGTCAGAGCATTCCAGGCTCTCCACATCTCTGCTCCCCCAAGGACCACAGCAGACCCTGGTACAGTTCATGGTACAGAGCAACCTGGTGGTGTTCCAGAGCCAATCCCCAGGCCTAAGGCTTGTAAATATTTTATCTAGTTCTGGAATCTTTCTATCTTTCCTTTCCCTATGGTCTTCCCCAGGGGATGTATGTCAGAGGAGAGTACTGCCTTCCCTGTATCTGGTGGATAGTGAGAGGTGATATTCTGGGTCCATGAAGATTGTAACTGAAGTGAATGGCACATTTCTGGGCATACCACTCCATAGCAGGCACTCCTCATGCTGGACCAGAGCTCTGAGGATCTTCACCTGCCCTAATATACTACAGATCCACATGCCCAGCCCAAGCCAAAGGTGGACTGCAAGGGCTCTTCCTGACCATAAATCATTTTGAAATTAATTTAAAAATCAAGAAGATTGTGATTATTACTGGGAAGGCAGAATGAAGTAGTGGCAAAAGTTTTCAAGTAAGCATCAAAGGTAAGGTTTCCTTTTTTCCAAACCTGGCCCATGCCCTGGCCCATACCCCTGTGCACGCTCTCAGCAGGTGATCCAGAGACGGGGTCACAAGTCGGTGGCTTCTGGGTCAAACAGACGGTCTCCAACTGCTCCTGATCTGCACAAGGGCTGCAGGAAAAGGCCACAAGATGAAAAAAGGTGACTCTAAGGAGAAACTTTTTGGCATTTCTGTCTGGATGGCAGCTTGGGAAGGCATCCTCGGGAAGGCAGCCTCATGCCCTGTCAGCCAGCAGACCCATCAACAGACTCCACCATAGGCTGACTCGGTTGTCAGGAGTGTACTGGGAAGAATACCTTTGGGGTCTTTCTGTCTCAGAAGGGACCCTAGAGTCCCCTGAGCCTCCTGGAAACTTCCCACTGTCCTCTCCTTAGAGTTGGACATGCACCCTTCTAAACCTCCTCTTCCTTAACCAGAAGATAGGAATATATTCTTATTTCCCACACTTGTGAAATGATGATACACACTTGGCTCCAAAACAAGGTAGTAAGGATGACGCACCAATGCTTTCGATTTTTATTGTCTGCTTCTGTTTTTAATTGGGCTGGGCATGCTCCAGCACCCCCAGGATGATGGACCCTGTGGCCTCCACACAGTGATTCACCTGCTTGATCCCTGTGGGCATTTGAGTTGGCCATCCCCTAATCATACCAAGCTTAGAACAAGAACCTTTCATGCAGGCATGCAGATGGCCTTTGCTGAGCCAGTATTCTAGTGAACAAAGAATACTCTATGCCCTAGGAGAAAAATGAATTCAGTGTGGCACTGCCCCAGCCCCCAGGATCAGCTGTGCCCAAGGGAAGCTACCCTGCGGGATGAACAAATTGGAGAGTGAGAAGGAAGCATAGATGCACAGCCACCTGGGTTCAGAGACCTGGAAAAAGCCAGCATTGGGCCTTATCTGAAGCAAGGAAGGCCAGGAAAGCCAACCATCTAAACAGATGTGGCCCTCTATCAGCCAGACTGGCCCTAAGCTCAGTGAATTCATGCCCGTCCCACTGCTTCAGGCGGCCAGACGAAGGTGAGGATGTGAGTACGGGCAGCTTCCCACAGAGTATCGCCCTGTTCCCTTGGATAGATGTTGCCAAGTGCTCTCGGTATGGAACCTGGCACTATTCAGAGGGACCAGAGCTGAAAAGGAAAGAACAAAAGTGAAGGGGGAGAGAAAGTGAGTGCAGAGGTGAAGGGCAAGCACAGAGCCATTCTTCAGAGTTTGGAAATGAGGCCTCAATCTGACTTGGCTCCTTCTTATACCCTGCATTTGAGCAAATGCAACCCTAGGTGCACCTAGCAGGTGTCAGGCCCTGGTCTGGTAAGGCACTGACATAAAAGGTGGGTCAGATGTGGGCTCTGCCTTCTGGGATCTTCCTGGCCTGCTACAGGATGGGGGGTTGGAGCCTTTTATGCCAGGGACAAATGACCAGAGAAGTGCCCAGGTGACCAGAGTGCCCAGGCACAGGAGAATGCCCCTGGGTCTAGAGCAGGGTGACAATAGTCCTGAGGGGCCAAGAGAGCATATGGACAATGTGGCATTTGGGAGGGCCTTTGGAGAAAGGGAGGCCTTTCATTCCCCAGGTTCCTGTGGTCTACCTGATCTGGCCACACACGCCACTCCTGCTTGAAAAGGATTAGGAGTGGCATTTACCACCAGTAACAAAAGGACAAATTCTGTATGATTCCACCCAATTGAGGCAGTTAGAGGAGTTGAATTCATAGGGACAGAAGGTGGAATAGTGGTCCTAGGGTCTCAGGGAAGAGGGTGGGAGTTATTTAATACACAGAGTTTCAGTTTTGCAAGACGAAAAGAGTTCTGGAGATAGCACAACAATGTGAGTGTACTTCTGAACCATGTACTTAAAAATGGTTGGGCTGGGGAATTTTATGTGATGTGCATGTTACTGCAAACCTAAAGAAAAAAACCAGCCATTTCCTAGAAGCCTCCACATGCTCCCTTTAAAGCTGAAGAAAAATCAGGCAAGCTGCTGTTCTCTGGAAGTTGACTGATTAACAAGCAGATGGGTAAACACCTGTGGATGTCGAGGAGAAGGGCATGGGTGGCGTGTCTAAATGGAGCCAGTAATAGCAAGGAGCCACCTCTTTGCAGGGACAGTCGGGAAAGTTTTCACATGAGAGGCAACGTGGAATGGGGGTGAGGCAGGGGTTGTACGGCAGGGTTGGCACCCCACTGACATCCATGTTCTAAGGGGTGCTGAGTAATTAACTCGGGAATGGTGCTGGGGATGGAGTCCTTACCCATCAGTGTTAAGGCCTCCATGCAGTCCTTCCTGTCCTGGCTCCGGCCACCAAGCCACATGCTCCAGGCTCCAAGCCAACAACACAACCTGTTCCTGCCCAGACAGGCTCCTTATCACCTCTGTGAGTCCCATGAGGCAGAGACTGTGTCCGTCCTGCTCACCACTGCATCCTCAGCCTGTAGCCCAGGGCTGACACAGAGCAGGTGCTCAACCAACTTTTCTAGCAACACTAACTGGACCTTTACTCACAGCATTCTCCCCTCCTTCTCACTGGGCCCCAACCTCCTAGCAGCCATGACCTGGCATCACAGGCCCTTTTCCCAAGCCCCTAACTAGGAAATAACCTTACTCTCAAGGGAGCAATAACTTGTATCTGTGCCTGCTTAAAGGTTTAACCCACTCTATCGCAGACCCTCCAGACTTCACAGACCCCCAGAGGGTCTGTGTTCCTTCCATGTCCCCTAAAATGAGGGGAAGAGGACCAACATCAGGACACTGACCACAGACCCAGCCCATGTTCAGTGTTTCCTAACACTGTTTAATTCCCACAGCTATCCAGGGGCTGTCATCACCACTGACAAATGAGGAAACTGAGGCACATGTCAGCTCCCTTGGTCAAGTTCGCACAGCAGTAGCTGGTTTAGCAGGTATCAGCAGTGCACTTCAACCAGACAGTGAGCTGGCTCCAATACCTCCAGTACCCTGTCTGAAGGGGATCTTCAGCTGAGTCATCTTCGTACCAGACACAGCAGACATGCTAAACATCTCATCTGTGCCACAGAGCCGGACAGAGCCAGATGAACATCAGCCTGAGGCCCAGCTCAGGCTCTGGCCACAACAATGGTGAGCAGGTCTACGTGAGCTCAGGCTCAGCTCATACTGACAACGTCCAGTATGGTCCTCTTTCTGGACTAGAGCCTCTTGTACATCTTGGGTGCCCTCCTCCCCCACTATCCCCACCTTGCTTAAAAGTGCAGGAGAATTTGGTCCTCCCAAAGATAACATTCCAGCAGAGAGGGGCTAGGACTCAGTACTTATCTGTCCACTTGCCTGTCCTTCAGACAGACAATTCTGGGAGGCCTTCTGTACACTTCTCATTGGAATACAGCCCTGGTTGCCCACACCAACTACTTCAATGGCACTGCCCCCAGTGTCAGAGAGGGAGGGCGAGGTGTAAGATGGCTCCCGGCTAAGTGCAGAGACTGACGTGGGGCTCAGTCCCATGACCATGAGCTCATGACCTGCCCTGAAACCAAGAGTCAGATGCCGAACAGACTGAGCCACAGTCTGCCCTCCTTTTTAAAATTTTCCCTCCCTGTCTCTCTCCCTGCTCCCTCCTGCTTCCTGGCACCACCTCCACAGAACCACCTGCACCCAGTCATTGTCTCAAGCTGTGCTCCTGGGGACCTTCCAGACAGTCAAGGACTCAATTTCCCTTTCCATGCAAGGGTTATTAGTAACCTCTGAAGTGAGTTCTCAAGGGTTCTGAAAATTTGGCATTTGTAAACTAAAATTAGAATAGTAGCAGGATTTACTGAAGACTCTAATTCAGCTTTCTATAGAGAAGGCCAGCTGCCCTGCAATGCTGTTAAGCCCCCACTGTGTGAGCCCATTGGCAAATCACCGGAAGCCCATCACCTCAAGAAAGATCCTTTGCAGTCAACATGTTCTCGAGGTGGCCTTGAGCCAGGCACATCTTCTTCAGGCTTATAAAGTGTTGTAAAGTACTGTTAATCTGAGCGACAGATTTAAAATGGCCACAAATTGGGGCACCTGGCAGCTCAGCCAGTTAAGAATCTGCCTTTGGCTCAGGTCATGATTTCAGGGTCCTGAGATTGAGCCCCACATCAGGCCCCCTGCTCTGCTCTCCCTCTGCCTGGTGCTCCCCCTGCTTGTGTTCTCTCTCTCTCTCTCTCTCAAATAAATAAATAAAATCTTTTAAAATAAATATTATGTAATTAATTAATTAAAATGGCCACAAATTCTTTGACACTCCTACATCAAGAGATGGAGTCTATTTCTGCTACCCTTGAATCTGTGCTGACCTGTGAGTACTTTGACCAAAAGAATATGGCCAAAGTGTCATTGTGTCAGCTCCAGGCCCAGCCTTTAAGAAGACTGACAGCCTCACCTTAAGCCCTCAGAGCCCTGAGCCACCAGGTTGAAGCCTGACTACCTGGCTGGAAGCACCATGTGGTCCCAGAGGTCACACAGAGTGAAAGGTGCTCAGCAGAACTCAACGTCCCAGCTTATCCCTACCAAGGGGCCACACGTATAAGAAAAGCCATCCTGGGGCCTCCAGACCAGTCCTGCTGAACACCATCGAGTAACCCCAGACAATGACACATGCAGTAGAAGAATCACCCAGCTAAGGTCTGCCTGAATTTCTATCCCAGAAAACTGTGAAAGTGAATAACAAAATGGTTGATGTTTTAATGAAGCCACTGTGCTTTAGAGTCACTTGTTACACAATGATATGACACCAACAGTCTTGCTCCACCATTGCTGATGTCGTTTGCAGTGCATAGTGAGGCATATTTGCATCAACAGAATTTGGGGCAATAATCTCCTAAGGATTACTTTGAGATGCATAATATTTATACATATAAAAGAATTATAGATAAGCTACAGACAGACATCACAGCTCAGATGAATTACCCATACACCCTCTTGCTGAAGCAAAAGTATAATTCATTCCAAAAAACAGCTCCTCCAGTAACCTTCATTGGTCACATGCTGCCTGTGAATCTGTGCTATTTATATAACTTGCAATGTAAGTGTAATCCAATTTCTAGGCTATTTTTAAGTTTGTGAATCCATGTGTTATAATGTAAAGTTGTGTTTAGAAGCTCATTATTTTCACTTACAAATCAAATTCCAAGCACTCCATCAGTAGAGAAAGCAGCATAATGTAGAGATTAGGAGTGTGGACTCCAGGGCCAGCTGCATGTGCTCAAATCCCAAACTCTCCATTTCTTTCCTGGTACAGCTGGGAGATGATAGAAACCACTTCGCAGGGTGGCAAGAGTAAAATCAATTGATGTGCGTAAGTGCTGGGAACAGTTCCTGGCTCATGATAAGACTTACTAGGCTTATTACGACTTCTTTGTTTTGTCCTCTTCGGTTTCGTACCATCACCTAGTTCTTCTCCACCACTGGGGGATGGGATGTCTGCCCCGCAGACTTCAGCATAGACTTTGCCCATAGACCGCCTCCAGGAAATCTCTATGGAATTAGTTGTTAGTGAATGAATGTATCCTTCCCTTAGACATCTGACATCCTTTAAACAATTTCTTCAGGTACGGAATGCTCCAGAGCGCCAAGTACAAGATGGTTTGGGCTCAGAGAATGGATGTGTCAAACCCACTTGCCTCGGATTCCCTGTGCCATAGCCTCCTTGGTGGTTTCCACAGCGAAGTTATCCAGCAACGTGGGCAATGGGCCCCCTGCGCTCACCAGCCTGGGTGTGGGTGCGAACGGCGTATTTTCTGAGCTCGACAATTTCTGAATCCAAGTGAGAGGCTTGGATTGGGCCGGGTGTGCAAGACTCACATTGGGCATTTGCACACATTTATCATGGCCTGAAATTTGGGAGAAAAACATGAGCAACATAAATACACAGAAGCATGATGCTGGATCTATCACTCTTGAAACAACAAGGCATCACAGACTCCAGGTTCTATTGTTGCTCTTCTTTCTCCACAATTTGTCCTCAGGCTGACTGAGGGGATGCTTGCAATTAGTCCTGAGGGTGCCAAACCTTCCTAATTAGCACACAGTAATGAAAGCAACCTCAGAAACACAAAAAGGGAAAGGAAATGCTCTCCTTCCCCCTGTAGTTGAGGGCCCTCAGCCAAGATTTTGATGGGTATTAACATTCACTGCAATGTCACAATAAAACTTATAGAAAGAGTCTTGTAGAAAATTCACTGCTGCCACCCATCCTGCTCACTGCCTTTTCAAAACCATCCTCATAAGCATTGTAACAAATGAATCTTCAAATTACCTGGGCTCCAAGATTAAGCTCTGGCCTATAGAATATAATCTTTAACCTCTATACAGTTTAATTTCCCTGGTAATAATTATTTAAGATCCACATTCTGAAGTATGAATACATATCAGATGTATTGAGTCTCCTAGCCCCTAGAAGGGGAAGAACTTCCCCTTCTCCTTCATGCAGAAAGATATAATAAATGGCTCTAATGACGTCCCTAACTTGAGATCATGCATGTAAGTGATTCCCACCACTTCACTATTCATGTCATTCATAAGAAATTGAGATTTGATTGACAGAGTCCTTAAATTAACTAGGCTTTATAAAGCCTAGTTTGTATTGTGAAAAAGGAAAATGATGACTAAATTCTGGCCATCTGCTCTCTGCTAAAACTGAGAAGGAAAAAAAATGTTCGGGTACGTGGTGCTTCTATGGTTCTGGCTTTGTCTGTGTGTATGTGTATGTAAAGCATGGTGAAGTCCTTCCACTTCCAGGGTGTCCATGAGCATTTATATGCTCAAGTAGAAACCCCTTCTCTACAATGGTGTCTGGTCCATTGCCAGGTTTGTGCCCACTAAAAAAGGTAGCCTTTCAAAAATACTTTTTAAGAACTTTTTGTGTCTATGAAGCATTTTTGGTACTATCACTCATACACAGTGGGCAAAAAAAAGAACAACTTAAGCAATTTGAATATGACCTACAGCTTTTTATATGAGTTGTTATCTTACACCAGAGCTTGGAACCTTTAGACACAAAGCAACAACAACAGTAACATTAACACCAACAACTCATATATGCTGAATGTGTATTATGTGCTAGGCACAGAGGTAAGTGTGTTATCTATATGGTCTCCTTTAAACCTCACAACGACCCTGTTGGGATAGATACTATTATACCTATGTTATAGAGGAGGAACTTGAGGCTAAGAGAGCTAATAATTTTCTCAAGGTCCTATGACTTGTAAGTGGTAAAGCAGAACCTGTTCTCAAGTCAGCTGACAACACAGTCTGCACTAGAAATGAAGGTGCCCAGGACACAAAGACAAAGACAGCAGTATGGGAGATTCATCCAAGACATGCCCAGCCTTCTGATCACCAGGGCCCAAAGGGACAGTGATCTCAGGCTTAATTATGGACCTGAGACATCTTTGAGATATTTTTCTCAGCCTGAAAGAAAGCATGCAGTATAGCTGGAAAGCAAAGTGGAAGACTCAGGGCAAGACATATATCAAGGTTCAGGCCAAACTGGGGAGAGTCTGACATGCCATCCTAGAAGTCCTCACTTGTCCCTGCAGATGGCAGAAAGCCCCCTGCAAATTTTCAGTGGAAGAACACGATCATATTGGTGCTTTTAAAAGGTTAATTTGAAGGCTGAGCACAAGACAATTATGGGGACATGACTGCCAATGGCAAGCCCATTTGAGAGCCCTTAGTAAGAGGCAGAATGTGACAGGAGGAGGCAGGTTCAGACCCCCACCCCTCCACTCAGTTTCTTGCAGAGTGGTTGAGTGGTCTCAGTTGAACAAGACAAAGATCATGGTGGAGAAGGTTGTATGGAAGCATGAGATCAACTGTAAACATGCTGAGTCTGAGGACCATATGGGGCCATGAGATGGACATGGCCAGTTCTTAGCTGGTGGAATCACTGAAAATGGTGTCTGCAGAAAGAGTTTCTAATATGAAGAAATTTTTTAAAGGCAAAGAAAAATTATCTAATTTTTCCAAAGAAGACATGCAAGTAACCAACAAGCAAATGAAAATATCAATATCACTAATCAGAGAAATGCAAATGAAAACCACAATTAGATGCCACACCTGTCCAAATGGCTACCATCAAAAAGACAAGACACCACGAGCATCAGCGAGGATATGGGGAAAAGGGAATGCTTGTGCACTGTTAGTGGGAATGTCAACTGGTGCAATCACTATGGAAAACAGTATGGAGGTTCCTCAAAAAAATTGAAAAAGAACTACCATATGATCCATAAATTCCACTCCTGTGACCTACCTGAAGGAAATCAAAACACTACATTGAAGAGATCTCTGCACCTTCAATAGGCAAGACATGGAAACAACCCAAGTGTCCATCAACATGTGAGTGGAAAAGGAAATGCACATGTGTATATAACACATGTATTATATTTTTTAGCCATAAAAAAGAAGGAAATCTTGCCATTTGAGACAACATGGATGGACTCTAAGGGTATTATTCTAAGTGAAGTAAATCAGACAAACCAATATTGTATATTTTCATCATATGCCAAATCTAAAAAGCTCAACTCATAAAAGCAGAGAAGAGAATGGTAGTTGCCATAGCCAGGGGCAGGGTGGGAAAATGGAGGGATGTTGGTTAAAGAGTACAAATGCCAAGCTATAAGATGAATAAGTTCTGGAGAGCTGATATATAGCATGGTGAGTATAGTTAATAATATTGTATTACATTCTTGAAAGTTGTTAAGGGAGTGGATTTTAAATGTCATGACCACAAAAACAATTATAATTATGGCAGGGACTAGAGGTGTTAACTATCTTATTGTGGTAATCATTTTGCAGTGTATATAGGTGTATCAAACCATCATACTGCACACCTTACTTATATACATATGTCACTAATAATTCAATAAAGCTAGAAAAAATAAAGGAAAATAGCATCACATTAACCCAGCCCAAAAAAGAAAAACTGTGAAATAATCCTTTTAATATCAATGTTATATTCCTGAAAACTCTTATGAAGGTAGAATTTGGAGTATGAGAAAACAGTAATATGAGCAAAGCTGGCTTAGAAGGACTAGTTTCACAAGTGAGCCTGCAGACCTTTATAAATATTTTACATTCACTTGTATCAGGCAATAAAAGTAATATTGATGATGTTTCACATTGTATCTTAGTAATAGCAGGTAAAATACAGTTAATTTACATTCATTATCTCCAGCTCCCTGCAAACACCCTAAAACTGCCACTATGTGATTTCAATGAAATATTTATAATTTATTTGGGTTTGCTGCAAATCATATGTCCCCTTTTTTTGTGTTTGGTTCTGCATCCAAATGCTCAGCAATTTTGTTTCCTGACTGATCCCCATCCCAGGCTCCCAGAACCCAGTGTTCACTGTCCCCTCTTCCCGAACCAGCTAGCACTGAACAAAAACCCCACAAGCAGAAGCTGCTGTTACTACTAGACAGAGTTAGTGAACATGGGACACAGAGCTAGAAACATCTCATGTACTGTTCCTCTAAAGCCACCAGACACCAGTGTGCTCACCTAAGAACACCGAGGTTCAGGGAAAGGAAGTGAGTTGCCCCAAGTCATGCAGCTAGTAAACTCTACTGCTCTGAATCTACTGGGCTCCAGGGCCACATTCCAAGCAAGGGGGTCTCAAACTTTTCTGTGCATCAAAATCACTTGGGTTCCTTTTCAAATGCAGATGTATTCAGTAGGTCTGTATGGTGCCTGAGGTTTCGTATCTCTAGCAAGCTCTGGAGTGATGCACATGCAGAGACCACTGTTTGAATATGAACGCTGAAACCACTCTATTAAATTGTTCTCTTTTCTAACTAAAGAAAAAATAATGCTTAGAGATCAACGGCAACTATGATCAATCCAATGCTCAGTGCCAAACCTCTCTAGTCCTAGAGTCCCTGTTCTGGTAGGATAAAGGTTGTACTGCAGAGTGAAGTTCTTAGGCACCAGCCTCAGGGGAAGACAGGTTCAAACCTCAGCCCCAGCACCTCCCAGCTAGCCTGTTACTTAACTTCCTCAGTAATGCTGGTGCCTGTCTCGTTGGGCTGCCTGACAATCACAGTTTAAGGAAACAACGTATTATGAGCATAAATGAGATAATTCATAGAAGGGCTTAGAGTACCTCCTAGTACTAATAAGAGTAATAAATAGTTCCTTAGTGCTTCTTAAAAACTCAAAAAGTATTAACTAGTGTTCTGTGATGTGTAGCTTCATCCGACCTAGTAGTCTCTTTCCTATTTAAGCAATATTACTGGATCCCTGGGTGGCGCAGCGGTTTGGCGCCTGCCTTTGGCCCGGGGCGCCGTCCTGGAGACCGGGGATCGAGTCCCACGTCGAGCTCCCGGTGCATGGAGCCTGCTTCTCCCTCTGCCTGTGTCTCTGCCTCTCTCTCTCTCTCTGTGTGACTATCATAAATAAATAAAAATTAAAAAAAAATCTTAAAAAAATAAAGCAATATTACATGTACATTGTTGAATGTTTGGTAAATCCTGAAAACGACACAAAGGAGAAAACAATCATGCCTGTGTGCCTGTGTGCCTGACCCACAAAGGTAACAATAAACCTATGAAGGTACTCTGGGGAGGTTCATTTCCATATTCTTCCTTTTCTGTTTCATAACATGTTAAAACCAACCAAGTTACTATCCTGGCGCTTAGATTGGTGCTTTCCAGTGCAGGTGATACATGGGGCCATTTACATTTAAATATGTTAGTTAAAATTAATGAAATAAAAAATGTAGTTCCTCAGGTCTATTTGGCACCTTTCAAGTGCTCAGTAGTTACATACTGGTAGTGACCCCCATACACACTGGCAGTGACCACATATACACTGGCAGTGACCCTGAAACAAACAGTATGCATATTTTTATTGCAGAAAGTTTATCAGTGGGAAGTAAGACTTCATATTTCATTTTTCCTCACTTAGAGCCACATTATGTGCATTTCACATGTCATCATTCCCCAGAAACTGACTTTAATGTCTAAATTATAGAGATGTATCTTAAGGCTTTGGAGATTTAGGTTGCTTCCAAATGGACACTATTATAAATAACGTTCTAGTGAACACCTATGAGCATCAACTTCCATGTAACTTCTGTATTTATCACCTTTGGATAAATATTTGTCTATAAGTGAAATTGCAGGGCTAACAGACATGGGCTTTCTAAAGGCTTTTGATATATATTCCCAATTGTATTTCAGATTGTACCCATTAACCCCACTGACACCCCCCCCCCCGCCTCCCGCCGTGGTACCTATTTTAGCATTTACCAGTCGAAGAAAATAAATACATTTCACCTTAATGGTATTTCTTGAGTTATTAGAGAGATAAAAATTTTTAGAGGTTTCTGAGTCAACTATAGATACTGATATAAATTGTTTTATGAAATAACCTTCCAAACTCGAGGTTGAGAATATAGCGTCTAAGAACATGAGAGACTCCTAACTCTGGGAAACGAACAAGGGGTGGTAGAAAGGGAGGTGGGTGGGGGATGGGGGTGACTGGATGACGGGCACTGAGGGGGGCACTTGATGGGATGAGCACTGGGTGTTATTCTATATGTTGGCAAATTGAGCACCAATAAAAAGTAAGTTTAAAAAAAAAGAGAATATAGCGTCTACTCACCAGCTGCAACTGGAAGAGAGCTCGTCTGAGCATTAAACCCATGCTGAGCAGAGCAGAGTCCCAGTAAGTATTTACAGGTCTTTGCTGAATTGGTGACAAATGTATGCTTTTTCCCAGAGATGCTGCTTGTGATGGTGAACTTCTTTCGCTGAAGGAAGCAAACACAGGCTTTCATATGTTGATTATGCTGATCATCCATTTAAGCACAATTGTCCAAAGAGCTATCAAATGCTGGAGCCTCCAGTTTGGTCTCAATGTACTAGGCATCTAGAAGTATATGACAGATGTTTTCTGACCATGGCCTATTATTTTTTCTTATATTAAAAAAAAAACCTCTTCTTATTTTTTTCTTCATTCACAAAGCCAGTGTTTGTTTATCAGGCAATTGCCAACTGCTGAGAAGGGAGCTAGGTGAAACGCATATGAAATGAGTCAGGTACACACTTGGCCCTCAGCAAGGAGTGAACATAATCCTCAGTGTGCACTTTGAAAGGCCATAAAATATATCTATAGTTTTCATTGCACAAACTCCCAGAAGGTGCAGACAAAATTTCAGCTAGTGGGGTTATAGAAAAAATAAGATAAGAATAAGATAAGATAATATGCATTCTCATATTTCTTGCGCTTATGGGCAAAGCTCTGTTCTAAGTGTTTTCTGGGTATTAATTCATCTCATCCCCAAAGCTACAGAATGAGGTAGGTCATACAATTGTCCCTATCCTACAGATGAGGAAACACACCAAGAGTCCTTAGAATGCAGCAGAATTCAGGTCACATCACCAAGAAATGCTTCCCCATATTTATACTTTCGGGACCCAAATACAAAGTAATAATATGGTACAGCTAAGTGGGATAAACTGGAAAGGATTATCTATAGGGGATTGTCTATCTGGACCTTTGTGGAAAAAATCCGTAACTATTATTGTCAACATACAATGTTAATAAAAACAATAAAATGCAAAGTAATAGAGATGATATTAAATATGAATTTATATACAACTTCTAAATAAAATCTCTAAATATTCTAAATATTTCAGTAAGAATCTTGAGCTTGCTCTTCGAAAGATAATTTTTATAGATACAGGGCTTATTCCTGAAAGGTTTCCCTGGAACTCCTGATCCTTGTTAATGCTAATCCCTTTTAATTCATAATAGTCACCACTTCCCAGAAGCTCCATCCACAGGGTCAAATATTAACAAAAGACAGTAATTATTCATTACTTTTCCTCTGAGAAATTTTTTTTTTGCCTATAACCTCATTTTAAGTAGCTTGAGTATTTTCTAAATATTCTTTCACTTTACTGACAAATGTAATGTTGAAACTCCTTCTACTAACATGAGTGGATTTGGAGTTCAATTGAACTATACTATAGTATTTTTTAAAAATAATGTATTTTCTCAGATAGTACCCTATTGGCCTTAATAACTTTTTCTTAGTATTTAAATTATAATGACCCCTGAACTTCAGCAGTGGAGTATTTGCTTTTCCAAATTTAAATATTTGCTTGGAATCCATCCACTTTGTCAGCACACATTGGTAAGCTCTCACATGGTCTTGACAATTGCATATTAACTGCACTCAGGTATTTAAAAATTTTAGATGAGGGATGCCTGGGTGGCTCAGCAGTTGGGCATCTGCCTTCGGCTCAGGTCATGATCCCAGGGTCCTGGGACTGAGTCCTGCCTCAGGTTCACTTTATGGAGCCTGCTTCTCCTTTTGCCAGTATCTCTGCCTCTCTCTCTCTCTCTCTCTCTCTCTCTGTCTCTGTCTCTCATGAATAAATAAAATCTTAAAGAAAAATTTAGATGAGTATGTCATTTAAAAAAAATCTAATAACTATTCACTAACAAATCTGAGAAAAGAGAATCATTTACAGACACACACACACACATACACCAATCTTTCTTTCAACTCATAAACTCTTGGCAAAACTCTCCTTTTAGATACTAATGCTTTAAGATACTAAGCATCACAAAGAGTGGAATTTCTAGGCATAAAGCTGAAAACGGTCTCAACTGTAGTAGTTTGGATTTCTTCTCCATTTTGGTAACATCATTTAATGAGAAATGCATATCTATAAGCAAACTTTCACAGAGGTGAGCTGCTCTCTGAACAAGACGATGTAAAACTAGAATCTCAGAGTTTTCAGCACAAACAAAAAAATGTATTTACACCTCTGTTGCTGCAGTACACACTTGGTGCTTCCATAACATCACCTTTGTTTCAAAGCATTGTTTTACCATTTTGAATATGTTATCACCTGTAGTTCTATTATTGCTGCTGTGAGTTCGCCCGCTAGTTTGTGTATCTTGTTTGATATCTCTTTGTGGAGCAATGATGTTCTTCGGACGGAGGCAGATTTGCCATGAAGCTGAGGGTCCTGGGAGGGGCTCCAGCCAAGTCTTCACAGGGTCTTATAAAGTGTGGAAAGCAAGCCTTGAAATATTCAGAGCTAGAGGCCAGTCTGACAGAAATCTCTTTCAAGTTGTCAGAAATAAAAGACTGTGACTTAATTCTCAAAAACATCCCAGTTGAGTGGCAGTTCTGTCCTATCAGGGGTATACTTTATAACTGTATATACTGCATTCTCAATATAATGCACAATATTTTTCTTTTTTAATGGAGAATCACATGAAATAGAATTTATTCGATTCCCTGCACTTGCAGCACAGAAACCTATACCAGCATTACAAAGAGCAAGTGTGTCTGTGTCTCTCTGCAAAGCTGCATGTTTTGTGCATCTTATCAACAATAAAAACAACTTGCAGTCAGCATGGAAAGTCTAAATTGTAATTCTATTGCCTCTAGAGAAAATATTACAAAGTGCCATAATATGGAAACATAAACAGAATGTATACCACCAACATTTGAAAGAAAAAAGGAATTCTAGTTTGATGGGGAATTAATTCATAACAGAATCTTTTTTGGCTTGATGGTTTTGCAGTAGTTGTTCACATTTTTAAATTCACAAGTTGTGGCAATTTCTTTTCTCATTCTAAAGGAATGGTCACTTTCATTTCATAGTTTGTGTTCTTTTTTTTAAAAGGAGCCCTACAAAGCCTGTATTGTCCCTTGCTCTTCTGCATTCCTCTTCAGGAGCGTTTTAACTACTGCTAATAACCCAGGATGGTTACTAACACAGGTAGGTTCCTTGTTCCACAATGAACACTTTCTCAGTTGGATAATCTTCTGAACCAATGTTGTCTCTGTCACAGACAGGCTGCCAACATGCCTACAAATCAGTCTTAATCAATCATGCCTAAAACCATAGTCAAATCAATGTCTTAATGGCATTTCTCTCTAACTCTATTGCTACTTCCCTGCTGGCTGGTGAGATGAATGGCCTGCAATTGTCTGAAACATCTTGGCGTCTGTTATTAATTAGGCAAATTTCAAACCAACTTCCTAAGCTCATTCTTGCATTATTTGTAGAGTTCCACATTTTGTGCTTGCAGAAGCATGAAGAGTGACAGTCATTTTCTGTACAAGATGCCTGATTTGTGGCAAGCAATTGGTGACATAATTTCATGGGATGACTTTTCCATAAAAAAAGACATTGGTGTTGAGGAAGAGGATGGTCATCAAGGCATGGAAATCCTAATTAGTGGCAAAGTCGTTTTGGGGTTTTTTAAGCTATAAGTTTGTCTTGTGAACCTGATGATTTTCCAGCTTTAATCAAGAAATTTTCCCTGGTCACAGGAAAATAGAGATCTATAAACATTTAATCAACTTAAAAATAAAGCACTTACTTAAGGGGATTGTTAAATTTTATAACTTCTAAAATTCTATTTTCAAAATTACATTTTAGGTTATCTGCAGTTTTACAAATGTCCTAAAACAAATTACATTGAAAAATTTAAACAGGGGACGCCTGGGTAGCTCAGTGGTTGAGCGTCTACCTTTGGCTTAAGGCGTGATCCCAGGGTCCTAGGATCGAGTCCCACATTGGTCTCCTTGCATGGACCTGCTTCTCCCTCTGCCTGTGTCTCTGCCTCTGTGTCTCTCATGAATAAATAAAATCTTAAAAAAAAGAGAAAAATTTAAACAGTTAACCATGACGTAAAGAAAATAGGAAGCAGTGCAATAGTATTAATTGATTCAGTAATTAAAACTCCTCAAATAATCTTTCATTTGAATTAAAGTAAGTCAAATCATTAAAATTATTAAAAACTTACAAATACATGTTTTACTTTCAGATATAGTAAAAAATATTTGGGAAAAAGTTTCCTGATAGAGTATAAGTTTTTTGTTTTTGTTTTTGTGGTTTTTTGTTTTTTTTTTAGTATTAGAAGTATTATAAGAACTCCGTTTAATTCTGTTATTTACTTTTAGATATAAGCTTTTTTTTCCAAAGGCAAACAATAATTTATCATGAAACACTATCAAGGGGGCACCTGGGTGGCTCAGTTGGCTAAGCGTCTGCCTTTGGCTCAGGTCATGAGCTCCAGGTCCTGGGATTGAGCCCCCATTGGGCTCTGCACTGAGCAGTCTGCTTCTCCCTCTCTCTCTGCCCCTCCCCCACCTTCTGCTCTTGCTATCTCCCTCAAATAAGTAAATAAAACCTTAAAAAAAAAGCAACATTATCAAGAATCATGCTTGAACAATATGTCAACTTCAACAGCCAAGATGGAAGAAACAAAAGAAACATTAAGCAAATGAATTAAACCAATTACCTTCTACTTAGGAAACTCTAACATCAGATAATGATAGTAAAAACAGCAATCTAACCAGGAGGAAAATCCTTAAAACCCTAACAGAAAATTAAATAGAAAGAAAAAGCTGATTATTTCATGGGCCAAAAGATGAAGACCTTCATGTTTGATAAGGAAATCATACCTAAAGGAAATGGCGGAAGGGGAGGTGGGCAGGGGGAAGGGGTGGAGGGTTGGGCACTGAGGGGGGCACTTGACGTGATGAGCACTGGGTGTTATACATATGTTGCCAAATTGAACTCCAATAAAAAAATAAACAAAAAAACACACAAAAAAAAAAAGAAGAAAAAGGAAAGAGTAGCATTCTCACAGTATCAGTTTCTGTAAGCATTTTGTGTCTATTGTACTGATTAAATGAGTTGCTCTGTTTCAGTAAAAAAAAAAAAAAAAAGGAAATGGCAAACTGACTGGGATGACCTACTATGGGATAAGCAGGAAGATTAGGTACCGGAGTAATCTGCTGTGGGGACAGACATCATGCTTTTGGTGGCAAATTTATTGTAACTACATTCAGGAAGTATATAAATACTCATGCAAATGGCATTGAAATACAATTTCAAACGTGATACATTTAATAGAGATTTTTTTGTTTCAAAAAAGTCTTAAATTTTCAAAGGCATCAAAGGTCTGCAGTCCCCAGCATCCTGTAGCACACCTGTAGTCTGTGGGAGACAGGCTGAATGTCTCAGGACACTGTGTGCACAGGGAAATTTTAAAACATACAGGAAAAAATTTGAAAATTTGGCAGATTTCACACCACCTATGTGGGCTCTCCTCTCCCATCTTCCAACGCCAACCTTGCTATCAGCATCGGTGGATTCCCCACTTTAGGAGAACTCCACCCAGAGAGAAGGTATAGCGTTTTCAGCTGATGGCTACCCATGGGGGTGCACAGGGACCTGGCAAGAAATGGTGGGGAGGAAACGGCCTCCTGGGGACTCTTCGGGTAGGCTTCTTTCAAATACGCCACAATGTATCCCAGTACTGGTTATGAGCTTATCTGGTCAGGGGAAGATCATATGACTCCGCTGCTCCTTTATGGGGGCAACAGACCAAAGGGAAGTGAAGCAGTTATCCACTGAGCTACACTCACACAAGTAGAAATCTTCCTGATTTCTCTCCACTGAAACCGCAAAGTTGCAATTCTGCTGTTGTTTTTCACTTCGTAGAATATGACACCCTTGGCACAGATCCCCAAGGCCGTCTCCCCTGCTCCCTTCATCTTCTCTGGGAGAATGTGGTGAACTAGCACACCATATTCTGGGAGCTGCTGAGTGACCTGGAGCAAGAAAAAAGCCAATTGAGAAGAGACAGTCCCACTAACCTAAAATAATAGTCTTCAGACCAATTCATGAAAAGCATTTTCACAGATGTTCCAAAAACTAAGAGTAGGATTGCCCAAATACGCTTAGGAAAACACTGAGCTAACCAGATCGCCTTACTACAGAATTTCTCCTCACCTCTACTATGATAGCATTTCCTATTTTATTAACCCTAGGATTCCTTTTTCATGGAGTACCTAAGCAACACCTGGAACACAGTTACCATAAAAATGATACAACAGAATATTAATATTCTGAACAAGGTTTTAGAATTCAGACTCTTCTGGGTCACCTCCAGGGAAGGGATTCCTTTTCCCAATTGTGTCTATTAAGGTCTATTGAAATGTTATCTGCTACAACCCCTTCATTTTACAAATGGAAAAACTGAGATCCAGGCAGAGAAAGGCCCCTTCCAGATGGTCAGCACCACTGTGAGAGCAAGATAAGTCGTGAACATCCTGCAGAGCAAATGAGCAATCACTGGCATCTTTCACCATGTCACAGTGCATTGCTGGGGTCCCTCCAGTCCAAGGTCTGTCCTCAGTTCACTAAGTCAGAAGAATGAATTTTGTCAGAGTCCTGAGGGTCAATCAGAGATGGAGACTGCATCAGGCCCATCAGATTCTTAAGAGATTGGAGTATAAACCTGATGCAGATGTTTTTATGTTTGAATGGTAATCACATCTCTATCCTGGTATCTAGCCTCTGCATCTTCACCTGCAGACTTCAGGCCTCATCAGAAGACTGATGCACCTGGACTTACAGCAGGGACTTCTTGCTCCCTCTCAGAAGGGTTTCACTGGTGAGATCTGGTATCCTATCCCTACCCCTGCCCCCAACAGAAAGCACTCTGCCTATGCCAATTTCTCCCACCCCCAGACAGGGTAATAACAATAGGGACAAATTATGACTTTGAGAGCTCCTTTCTCAGGATATTTGCTGTGCTTTTTTTCTTCTGTTAATAATCTCTGCCGACAGGTTATACTGCCTGCAGAGCCTACAGCTCTTCATATGATGTTGATTCAGTTTCTGGGCCTTGAGCCTGCTTGTTTTAACTTTGGAGGCACTGTTCATCACCATTGTTGTCATCAGCAGTAGCATCCAAAACACTATTGAGCACTTCATGCTGAAATATCCAATGGCCAGACTAGGCATGTGCTTAGGTATTAAATTAGGGTGATCCCAAAGCAATAAAGTAAATTCTTTTAAATAATTTGATGTGATATTTCCAAAAAGAGTTTAAAGCCTTAGACTTCACTAGAATAAAGATGCCTTTGCTAGACTCCCTTACATGTTTTAATTGTTTAGTATTTAATTTTAGTTTTTTTTTATTTTAGTTTTTATTTTATTTTTTTAAGTATATAGAGAAGGATGTGATCCTGAAGTACTTGGAGTGACAAAATGTTTAAATGGCAAAGCACCAGTGTGCCCTGGGTGGCTCAGTTGGTTAAGCACCCAACTCTTGATTTTGGCTCAGGTCATGATCTGAGGGTCGTGAAACAGAGCCCTGTACTGGGCTCCAAGCTGGGTGTGGAGCCTGCTTAAGATTCCCTTACCCTCTTCCTTGGCCCCTCCCCTCGCCTCTCTCTTTAAAAAATTAAAAATAAAATGGCAAAGCACCATGAAAACATTTCCCATGTACCATACTGTTTAATCTTTACAGCAATCACAACAGAGAGGGGTAGATGTCTCTTTTCAAATGAGAAAGTAGATTTACTTAGGAGCCAGAAATGGAAGTATAAGTCTGTCTGTTTCTGAGTCTTCACTCTTAGCAACTAACATACAGAGTTCCCATCACATTTGGAAACATGGGTGAGTATACATAAGATCCTCAGGGGCATTTTCAATTGGTAAAAAATAAATATTATCTATGTCTCCATGCTCTACTAGGAAATCCTCTGGAGCACCTCTCCTGGGCATTCCATGTTGTGATTGCTAATTGTCCTCTCAGAGGTTCCCTTTATCTTCATGTGCTTAGAGGCATCTCACTATCTTCTCCTTCTCCCTACAGTGGCAGCCAGGTTTACACTGGACCCAGGCTCTCCTGGCTCCCAGCATATGCAGCATCCTTGCTGTATTGAAAACTGTTGGAACAAGCAGACTGTTTCATCAAGAGAGTCATAACTACTCATATCCTTTGACCCTATGATTCCATTCCTGGCAATCTGTCCTAAGAAAATGTACTGCATAATCAAGACCAACACTTCTCTAGTGATGGTGCAGACTAGCAGGGTTGGGTTGGGTGACTGGCTCCCAGAGATAAAGATCTCCTAAAGGCAGTACTGCCTTGAAAGGGATCATCAGGCAATCTTCAGAAAGCGCATTTACAAAACATTTGTGATTATTTGGGGCATGCATATGTTATAATGCTAAATGAAGTAAAACACAGGATATAAGCAGTATGATTTCAAATGTTTTAATAGTATATCAAAACCCCTCATTATTGTGAAAAAAAAAAATGGTTCCCTGGTTGAAGAGGTTTGGAAAACATGGAGTTAACCTCAAACAGGTTAGGTGGTTCTGGCATTAGTATGCTAATGTAGTTGTGAAACTTCCAGACAGAGTATGTCATTCAGCATCACCCACATAGGATTTCTGCCAAGTCTACCAGCGTGATATGGTGAGATGATGAACTAGCAGAATTAGCCATCGGTGAACTGGAAGCCAAGAGGCATCTGATAATGGAAGAGAGGAGCCACAAGGAGCTGTAATTAAATAATCCAGTGGCTGTTTATGGAGTGACTGAGCCTGTGAGGGGCCCTGAAGATTTGGGACCTTGACATTTACAACCTAGTAGGGAGGACAAGAAATGTGTAGAAAGGACTGCAATCCGAGTGTCTTGGCAATATTTATCAGCAATGTTCAAATGGTTATAACCTGAGACGCTGGCATTCCACTCATGAGCTTGTATCCCTAAGGATTATGCACAAAGGCAGCTAAAGACTTGGGTAGCAAAAGTGCTAATCTCAGTATAGTTTAAAATAGTCCCCTATTTAAAATAATTTATGTGCCAAACAATGGAGTATTGAGAAAAAACTTAGGGTACACCATGTGTTGATTTAAAATAAAGTTTCAAAATGTTGGTGAGATGGGATTATAAAAATACACAAAACTGCATATATAATATAAACCTAATTTTAAATGTGTATACACATGTGAAGGCACAGAACAAAGGAGAATGAATACAAGAAAATATAATTGTGCTGTCTCCAGAGGGCAGAATCATGAGCAAATTGTTACTTTTATAATTATGGATGGATGGGGCGTTAGATTTTGCTTAACTAACATTCACCCAAACGAGAAGGGTCCCAATGTGCCATGGGGATCACAAAGCCCTTTCGTGTCTCATGCAGCAGGGGTGACACACAGCCCTCGCAGGCCCAACCAGCCAGCACAGGGAACTCAAAACTCAGCGTTCCTCGAAACTGATAAGATGGCATGCAAATTAAGTCAAATCTATTCGACAAAACAAAATCTCACTGTATTTCTATTATGAGATGGTGGCTTCCTTCACAACCAATTTTCATCATTCAACCAGGAGAAGGAGGGACACAGAGAGCCTGGGGAGGGGTGAGCAGGTGGGCATCTTTGGGCCCAGAGAGGCCTCCATTGGCTCAAGTCCTTGGCCTCCCCACTGATTCTGTGGTTCTGCCTCCACCTTCCATCAGACGTGTGCTCATGGCTTTGAGGAGTCCACTCGCCCCTCATCAAAGGAAGGCTGCATCCTCTAGACAAGGAACATGGGCGAAGACTGGAATATAGAAAGCAGTGAGCACCTTTCCACCAGGGCTTCTCAAATGAAGTGCTTGTAAGTTTACATGGGTGAGGTATTACCATCTGCCAAGTGGCAGACCAAAAAGAAAGGCCAGATCTCCTTTGGACAGTTCTGCTTCCAAATGTCCATCTCTATTAAAGGCCAAAAACACAGATACATTTCCTATCCATCTTGGGAAACTTTTGTACAGAGAAATGTACAAATCTGGAGCTTCTTTTGAAATTCCTCTTCAGCTCTAAAGGCCAGCCAGGTATCCTGCCCTGGGCAACCGAGGCCCCCTAGCTCCATCTACACAGGCGGAGTGGCAGTCCCTCCTATCCTGACATATTGTTATTGTTCTCATCACACAGCATACTCTGCATGACTCTGGTAACTGTCTGTCCTCTCCAGGAGACAAGATACTCTGGGGGCAAGGAGCATGTCCTTTCTGTCTCCATTCCATGCAGCACCTGGCCCAGAGCAGGTAAGTTGTGGGGTGTGCAAAGCTCTTCATCCTAGGCTATGTGTGTGCCCACCGATATGGGGGACTGAAATGTCACTGCTTACACTTGAGGGCTGAGCAGAGTGTGGACCAGAGCTATACCCAGTTGCATGGACCATACCATCTGTGCTGTGCTGAGAACAGTTGCCTGGAAGGCTGGAAACTTAAGGTCTTCCAATGGTTTTGCTTTTGTCTCATACCCCAGTTTGGGGTAGCTGTCCCATATGTCTCTGTGAGAAATGTGATCTCCTCACTTAGAGGAAAGTGACTGTGAATTCTATGGCTAAAGAAAGGCTCAGCGATACCCACTCAGCCCACTAAATCTTACCCATTTGGGGGATCATTTCCAATGCCACCTGCTTCCAGAAGCCTCTCCTTGGTCTCAAATCCCTTGATCATACCTCCATGTGGGTCAGAGCATATCTGGCCCCCCAGAGAAAGCTCCAGAGGGAAGGGCTGGCTGTGTGCCCTTAAACAACAACACTCCCCCCACCAGGAGACCAGAAGTCTTACCCTCAAGAACTCCAACTCCGCATCCTCTCCCCAGAGCACAGGACTGAGATAGTGCATCTCTGAGACTTCAACTTGGACCTAGAGAGCAGTCATCCTCTCAATCAAACTTGCAGGGATGTAATCCTCAACCCGAAAATAGGCTTTATTCTCTTTCTGCTGGGAAGATGCGGAAGAAAAATGGCATAACCAAGAAGCCTTCTATAGGACTCTGAGCACAAGAGAAGCTTGTCTGCATTCCAAACCCCAGGTAGGGCCCCAGGGCAAGGATGCCCCCTTGAAGTACCCACCTCGGATAGTATTTTCTACTGTATTAGAAGTTGGCCTAAACCATATGATATGAGTAGAAGGGAGAGAAGAGGAGCCACCTGTCTTTGAGACCCTTCTGTATGCCAGGCGGTCCTCAGAACACATTAGCTCCTTCAATCCCACAGTAATCCTATGAGGATGATATTATTAGTACCATTTGCAAGATGAACAAAATGAACGAGGAAGGAAGTCATTCAACAGGGCCAAGATCACACCACTTAGTGACAGAAACAAGATTCAGTCACCCAGGGGATCCCTGGGTGGCTCAGCAGTTTAGCGCCTGCCTTTGGCCCAGGGTGTGATCCTGGAGTCCCAGGATCAAGTCCCATATTGGGCTCCCTGCATGGAGCCTGCTTCTCCCTCTGCCTGTGTCTCTGCCTCTCTCTCTCTCTGTGTCTCTCATGAATGAATAAATAAATAAAATCTTAAAAAAAAAAGAAGATTCAGTCACTCAAAGTCCTCACACATCCCATGATGCCACACCACTTCTCGAAAGGCACAGCAAAACCCTGGCCCCAACACTTTGGTTCTTTTTATTTATTTAGCATTTCTGTCTGCTTGTGCTCCTATTATACTGTCCCCTCTTACAAAGGAAGTCTTGGCTGTGCCACCATCTCTCCACATGAAGGGGATCAAGCAGTTGTCCTGTGAACAAGAAAGATCTGTCAACCCCACCTCACGCCAAGCCTGAACCTCCAACCAGCCTGCTCTTTCGGGAACCTGAGGCTGCCACCCCAGCACAAGCAGCTAGGTCAGTGCCACTCACCACCCAATGCACAGTTCCCTGATATAGACCATGAAGCAGAAAGGTATGCAGAGGGCAGCCCAGGTGGCTCAGCGGTTTAGCGCCGCCTTCAGCCTGGAGTCGCAGGATGGAGTCCCACGTCGGGCTCCCCACATGGAGCCTGCTTCTCCCTCTGCCTGTGTCTCTGCCTCTCTCTCTCCCTCTGTGTGTCTCTCATGAATAAATAAATAATGAAAATATTTAAAAAAAGAAAGGTATGCAGAAGCTTTGGGGGGGGTGGTCTTGGGGACCACTGTAGGAATGAGGAAGACAGAACTTGTCAGAGAAAGCTGACCCTGTCCTTGTATTCCTGATTCCTAATTCCTGGTCACTGGCAGCCCCTCCCAGCTTAAATTTAGGCAAGACATTGCCCCATAGCTGAGGGCAACTACCTGTGAGGAAGGCAGCTGGGAGCTGTAAGGATCTTGCCTTCTCAGGGCTGGGGATGGACAGGTCGGCCTGTTGGGGAGATCTGAAGAGAAGAGCACATCACCCACTTCATCTCCATCTCCTGGTGTGGCACAGACCTGTCCCCATGTAGCCATGGACTAAGAATCCTCAGCTGAGAGTTAGCCCATGCCAGTTCTGGGCTCAACTCAGACACAAGCAGAAAGAAATTGCCCAGCAATCTTCTGACTAAAAAAGCCTTCAGAATGCCATTAACATGGCCCAAATCCAGAACACTGGCAACACCAAGTGCTGGTGTGGATGTGGAGCAACAGGAACTCTCACCTACTACCGGTGGGAATGCAAAATGGTGCAGCTACTTTAGAAGATAATTGGTCTTGCAAACATAGTCTTACCATAGGATCCAGCCATCATGCTTCTTGGTATTGAACCAAAGGAGCTGAAATCATGCCCACACAGAAGCCTGCACATAGATGCTTATAGCAACTTCATTCATAATTGCCAAAACATGAAAGCAAAAGATTCCTCCAGTAGGTAAATGGATAAAGAAACTGTAGTACATCCAGACAACAAAGTATCATTCAGCACTAAAAGGAAACGAGCTACCAAACCACGAAAGACAAAAGACATGGGGGAGACTTAAGTGCATATTAAGTGAAAGACGTCAATCTGAAAAGACCACACACTTTCTGATGGAAAAAACAATGATGGACATTGGACAGTGATGCGTTGATGCGGGTTCATCAGCTGGAATGCATGTACCATTTTGGTGGGAGGTGCTAGGACTATGTCCAAGAGAAGACGTCAATATGGAACTAAAAAGCCCTAACACAAACGTGTATTTCCATGTAACTCATAAAAAGAGGAAGATCAGAGGCAATGGGAACAATAGTAACAGTATTACCATTTACACGGCTCTTCCAGGTGATGCCCAACAGTGAGAGGATGGAAAGGTGAGCAAAGGTCCACCCAGGTAAGGTGCACCGTGTAACCATCCTGAGTGATCATTAGGAAGGCCACAGGAAGACATCTGCCATCAAGTGGGAAAGCAGAATGCAACTCAAATGTGGCACTGTTTGCACCTGCATAAAATCCCAACAGGCAATCATAGGCTAGAAGGGAGCTCACCATGAGGAAAGCTGTTCCACCACAAGATGTGATTAAGGAGATTTATTTTTATACCAAAATGTCTTTGTCTCCCTCTTTAAAATGTAAATGTAATCATGTCACTTCCCTGCTTAGAATTCTTCAGTGGGTCCCAGTCTTTCACTACAGTGGTTTCCAAATTAATTTTTTTCTCCTAGCACCAGAACCATTTATCAAACAAAATACAAGCCCCTTGGGGGGAGGCACACAAGGTTTGTTCCAGATCTGGCTTTCAATGCTGTCCAGCCTCCAGGCCACTTCAGCTAGGGCTGCAGTGACAATGCTGGAGCCCTCCTCTCCTGCCCGCTCAATGACACAGACACAGGGACAGGTCTTCCTGTCTGGATCTCCCAAAACACTCTGATGAGCCCACCACAGTGCCTGGCACACAGCGAAGCCAGGCGCTGCAAAGTGAGTCCTGGCTGGGCTCTCAGTACCTTACCCAACTTCACAGAGCTGCAATTTTTCTCAGCCTCAGGTGGAAATAACACCAGCTTTGCGGGTTGACATAGGGCTTAGATGATACCAAACATGGAACGGGCTCTCCATAAATGAGGATTGAGGGAGTAAGGGCCCAAATGAGTGGGTTTGTGTAATCTGTTGCCTTTACACCTACAAAGGAAAAGGAGTAGATCTGCCTTTGGGGGCCATGTGGGGACAGCAGAGAGTGTCCTGGAACCACTCTCGTCCATGGCAGTGAGAGAGGTTGAGGCTCCACAGGATCTGGAGAAGGAGCTGGAGGTGGAGGATGGCCGGTAAATAAACATGTATACCATTCCAGGCAGTGGTAAATGCTATGAAGAAAAATGCAGCAGAGTGAAGGCATAAGGAGGGCCTTGGAAGACTCTGGGCATAGCAACACCTTCTGAAGATGGACTGGGAGGAAAGCAAAATGGTTCTGGCATAGTAAAAAAAGTGTTTTTTCAAATTGCAGCTTGTAGCACATTAGTGAGCTAATGATTAATAGTTCATAGGTAGCATTTTTAAAATTAACTACAATAGAATAGGAAATACCAGTGTGTATCACATGTAGAAAGGATGCATCTTATTTCCTAAGTTTTTGCCTCAATTCTGTTCTAGGTACATATGTGTGTGGATTGTGTTATCATCTCTCTCTCTCTCTCTCTCTCTCTCTCTCTCTCTCTCTCTCTCATGGGCATGGCACAGAACATTGGAAAGCCACTGTTCTCAAGCAGCTTTTGATATTGTCCTTGCTCTTAAACCCAGTTACTAAGACGAAGCAGGCAAGCTGTGACAAAGGTCACACACCTTGCCCTCTCCGCCCCACACTGTGTGAGGATGAAGAACATTGATCAGAGTCTCTTCGAGGCATCTACACTTGGCAGTGGCTACAGCTTCTCCTTCCCAGATTCCAGGTATATCTGCATCTCTAGGCCATGTTCTCTGCAGGTTCGCATTCAGTGGCTTCTGGACTCTACCCTCTAGATTGCAGACTTACACCAAAGAGAGAAGTGCTCGCTCTCTCTCTCTCTCTCTCTCTCTCCCCCTCTCTCTCCCTCTCTCTCTCTCTCAGTAATGCCATGGAAATCCTGTAGCTCTGTCTCATTGGTTCTGATAAAGTCATATGTCTACTCAAGCCAATCACTGTACAGAGAGCTGCCATGCTCTGATTAGTTAGATTTGAGTTATATGGCCTCCCATATTTGCTGGGGCTGCCATAACACATACCACAGGCTGTCATTTAAGACAATGACAGAAACTTATCCTCTCATAGTTCCAGAGGCTAGAAATCCAAGATCAAGTGTGGGCAGGGTTGGTTTCTTCTGAGGCCCCTCCCCTTGACTTGCAGACTGCCTTCTTCTCCCTGAGTCCTCACACCGTCTCTCTCCTGTGCTCCTGGTGTCTTTCTGTGAGTCCCAATCTCTTTGTACAGGGACTCTGATCAGACTGGATTAAGATAAAACCAGAAAGCCTCATTTTGACATAACTGCCTCTTTAAGACCCCATCTCCAAATACAGCCACATTCTGAGTACTAGGGGTTAGAACTTCAACATATAAATCATAAAGGAGCATACTTCATCCATAACACAAAGCCAGACCCAAATGACCCCAGCGAACTCAGAACTTCAGCCAAACACAGCTCCTTTGTTCGCCAAGGATGTAGCATCATGGACCACTAAGTGCTCCCTGGTGGTAGACATATATTTTTAGCTATGCACAACCATTCCCTCTCTTTCTGGAAGCAGAAGGCATCCTTTCTCCCTCTCAGTCTCCTCGCATCTTCATAGTGTGAACTCTACCCTGGTTCTCAGGGTGGCCATAGTCCTCAGGTCCTCTCTTGAGTATATCTTCTGGGAATTAAGCACTTCCTAGAGGCACCCAGCTTTTGTCATATGGCAATGGCAAAACCCATCAAGATAAAGCCCAGTGGGCTGGTGGGGGGCCCAACCTTCCTCAGTCTTCCCTCCCACTTCTACTGATGCAGACTCCACATTTGGACAGCATGTCACACTTCTGGGTCTCATGACTTGGGCTCAGTTGAGGTCTACTGCCAAGACCCTTTCCACTCATCTGGAACATGGGTGGAGGCTTTGTGAACTCAGAACAAAGTTGCCCTACTCTCTGTAACAGCTCACCTGGCTAGTCCCTCTTTCCTGCCTGGTGTACCCATTTTGAATCTTAAGTGAAGATATTAATAACATCCAGTGAAATAAGTCAATCGGAGAAGGACAAACATTATATGTTCTCATTCATCTGGGGAATATAAATCATAGTGAAAGGGAATAGAAGGGAAGGGAGAAGAAATGGGTAGGAAATATCAGAAAGGGAGACAGAACATAAAGACTCCTAACTCTGGGAAGTGAAGTAGGGGTGGTGGAAGGGGAGGAGGGCGGGGGGTGGGGGTGAATGGGTGACGGGCACTGAGGGGGGCACTTGACGGAATGAGCACTGGGTGTTATTCTGTATGTTGGCACCAATAACACCAATAAAAAATAAATTTATTATTTAAAAAAATCCCTCCCAACTTTGATGTATCTGCAAATTAAATAACCAGTAGAGATAAATAAATAAATAAATAAATAAATAAATAAATAAATAAATAAATAAATAAATACCAGTAGACTCTATAAGTCCCTGAGGACTGTAACACAGAACCTTTACAGGGAAATTCAATCAAAGAAACGTATGTGTGATTCTGTTGCATGGACCGGGCTTGGCCAAAAAGATTAGAGATTTTGAGAGGCAGCGTGCCCAGCAGAATCAGCACTGGCCTAGGAGTCAGATACATCTAGGCTCAAATTTAGACTTTACCATTCTCTAGCCACATGAGTCTCAGATTGTTCTTCCACAAAATGTGAGTAATGGCAGTGCTAAGAGGATTGAGTGGAAAATATCTAGGTCAATGCTAAGTACAGAGTGATCTCTTAATAAAGGTTGTCTATTACTGTTGGTAAGGATGATGATGATGGGAAGTCAATAATTGAGTAAATTATTGTTTTTAGGAGAAACCTTAGTTTGAATTACATTACAATGTATATATTTGACTTGTTCATCTTTGTCTTCTCCACAGACTAGTAAAAACAGTCAATGAAAGCTTGTTGGATTAGATGGCTGGCTGGGTGGATGGGCGAGTGGATGGATGGGTGGATGGGTGGATGGATGGATACCATTTACCTCAATCTTAGTGGTAGATGCTGAAAACGCTTCTCAAAGTCTCAGTCTCCCTATGTCTAATAGTTCTCCCTTTTCCTATAACTGCTTCTCCAATGACCCCACCACAGGCCACAGGTGTCCACCCCTACCTCCTTGGGGTAATTGCCAAATTCAGCCTGCAAGGCAAGGACCGCCAGCTGCAGCAGTGTCTCATCATTGCAGTACAGCTTCTCCTCCAGAATGTCTTTCCAAAGCTGCAGATAAAATTGATGCCTTGTCTGGCTGTGCCTGGGAAAGAAATGCAGTAATAAGGGCCACTGGAATGCTGTGGAGGTGGGAGGTGGGGAGAAGAATACTGAAACCAGAGGGTTTTCTCAGTCTGGGAAGCAGGGAAGGGACAAAAGATGGGATACAAGCCAACAGAACCCAGAAGGCAATGTCAGTAAGAGGAGTATGGTTTCCTTTATACACATCATGCCACCTGCCATGAGTTGAGGGGTACTCTGTGCCAGGCACTTGACACAACCCCCACAGAGATGTTTGCTGCTGCAGTTCAAGTGAGAAAACTATGTTCAGATGATGTTTTTAGTAAGCAAAAGAATAAAGAGGCCATGACCCAACTCCACAGTCACACATAACGCTTTCCTCCAATCCTGATCACTGGGTTGCTGAGGAAGGGTCATACTGGGGCCAGGGGAGAACTTTGACTTTGAGTGTGCCGTGTTTGAAACAAAAGGGCAAGTTCTCATTTTTGTCAGGGCCCAAACTCTGATTTGCCCCTTTTCTGTCATGTTGAAATCTAATCAACAAGCTCAACCATGATGACACTTGTTATTTATACGTAATTTACAATTCACCCAGCACTTGCTACCCATTATTTATAATTCTAATGTCAGTCAGCACATACACAGGTCCCTTAAGGAAAAAATGAAGAATTCTGGAGCACTCACTGGAGCTGTGCACAGCAACTGACAAAGAACTTTATCCTCAGAAAGAGTGTGAAGGTATTCAAGGAGGTCTTCTTCTGGGGCTGTTCACTCCAGCCTTCAGGGGCTATTTTGCACAACCTGGTTTCATTGTCCAAGAAAAAGAACTCTCTCCCTGAAATAAAAGTAGAGAGGGAAAAGCAGTCAGAGAGGCACCACCCCTTTAGACCCACAGCCCTGAACTCTGCCCAGAATGTCAAACAAGAGACATCTGAGGGCAGGAGACAGCAGGAAGTAATTCCTCTGGACACCTGGCACCACAGGACCTTTTCTGGGTCTGTGAGGGGCCAGAAGTCAAAGACAAAGAGGAGAGAGTCAAAGAAGAGAAACTCAGCATCAAGAGGAGGAATGTGATTATTAATCTCAGAGAAGATGTCACTTAATAGCTGCTTTTCAGCTACCGCCATATGCAGATAAAGTGAAAAACAGATGAATGAGTATTCATTCCGTTCCTGCTGTGTGCCAAGCCATTAGCCTCAACTGGACCATCTCCAAATCTTCCCCAGGCATTGGCATAATATGGATTGAATGTTTGCACCTCCTTAAAGTTCTTACCCCCAAAGTAGTGGGGGTAAGGTGCAGCCTCTGTGAGGTAATTAGATTTATTGTGGGGCTCCCATGATGGGATTAGTGTGGTAAGAGGAAGAGACCAGGGCTCACTCTCTCTGTCATGTAAGGACACCATGAGAAGGTGGCCACTTGCAAGCCAGGACCAGAACCCCAAATCTAACCACGCTCCAACCCTGATCTCAGACTTCCCAGTCTTCAGAACTGTGAGAAATAAAGATCTGTTGTTTAAGCCACTTAGTCCATGATATTTTGTTTTAGCAGCCCCAGCAAATGAAGACAGGGCATGAGTCGAGTCACCTTTGCCTTCTGACCTGAATGTGGCCATCTTGGAGGCTCCAATCCAAGCTCAGGACATCAGCACCTCTATGAGGAAGGATGAACCAGCCCCTGCCACTGCAGGCACTGCCTCTGCCCCTCTGCCCTCTTCAAGGTGAAGCCTGACCCCCTCCCACTCCCTGCCCCAGCCCTGCTCTGCCCCATCCATACCCTTCTCCAGGCTTCACCCTCTCAGCCCAGAGTCACACAACAGGAGGTTGCCTGGGCACAGGAGTTGTGCCAAGTTATAGTTAGCAGACCTGTTAAGTGATAACCAGCCTTTTCTCTCAAAAGCTTGCATGCTGAGAAGACAGAAGGAGCTGCCCAGAGAAGTTCAAATAGCCTTCACCATGCAGCACCCAGACCTCTGCCCCTCTGCCTTCAGCTCTCTTCCTTTAGGACCACTTCTCCCCAAGATGTAGGCAGGTCTCCATTATAGTTTGGCTAGCAGAACCTCCTAGGTGGGTTATTTCCAAACCCCAGACTGGTGACTTCTGATTGGTTTACCCAGGACACCCCAGGTAAGTAGTTCTACTATGTCCACATGGAAGGGTCCAGGATGAACACCTGACTGGGAGAAAGCAGCCTCAGATAAGGGCAAGTTGGACTCAGCACAAGTACACTGGCTTTCTGTAGGATGCATGTTACAGATCAATAAAAATGAGCACTGGGTGTTATTCTATATGTTGGCAAATTGAACACCAATAAAAAATAAATTTATATTAATAATATGATGTTTCCTAAAGATTCTACTATTCACATTTTACAAAAGATGGAGCAAAGGTCAGTCCATCATATCAAAGCATAGAGAGATTGTTCTTTTTTATTTAGGAGAGGACTCTTTTGCTAGCCAATAGGATCCAACAGTAAGTTAAGAAGATTACTCACCATGACCAAGTGGTATTTATCCCCAGAAGCAAGGCTGGTTCAACACTCGTAAAGCAATCAATGTGATTGATCATATCAGCAAGAGAAAAAAAACAAGAACCAAATGATCCTCTCATTAGATGCAGAGAAAGCATCTGACAAAGTACAGCATCCATTCCTGATCAAAACTCTTCAGAGTGTAGGGATAGAGGGAACATTCCTCAACATCTTAAAAGCCATCTACAAAAAGCCCACAGCAAATATCATTCTCAATGGGGAAGCACTGGGAGCCTTTCCCCTAAGATCAGGAACATGACAGGGATGTCCACTCTCACCACTGCTATTCAACATAGTACTGGAAGTCCTAGCCTCAGCAATCAGGCACCAAAAAGAAATAAAAGGCATTCAAATTGCAAAGAAGAAGTCAACTCTCCCCCTTTGCAGATGACATGATACTCTACATAGAAAACCCAAAAGACTCCACCCCAAGATTGCTAGAACTCATACAGCAATTTGGTAGCGTGGCAGGATACAAAATCAATGCCCAGAAGTCAGTGGCATTTCTATCCACTAACAATGAGACTGAAGAAAGAGAAATTAAGGAGTCAATCCCATTTACAATTGCACCCAAAAGCATAAGATACCTAGGAATAAACCTAACCAAAGAGGTAAAGGATCTATACCCTAAAAACTACAGAACACTTCTGAAAGAAATTGAGGAAGACACAAAGAGATGGAAAAATATTCCATGCTCATGGATTGGCAGAATTAATATTGTGAAAATGTCAATGTTACCCAGGGCAATTTACACGTTTAATGCAATCCCTATCAAAATACCATGGACTTTCTTCAGAGAGTTAGAACAAATTATTTTAAGATTTGTGTGGAATCAGAAAAGACCCCGAATAGCCGGGGGAATTTTTAAAAAGAAAACCATATCTGGGGGCATCACAATGCCGGATTTCAGATTGTACTACAAAGCTGTGGTCATCAAGACATTGTGGTACTGGCACAAAAACAGATACATAGATCAGTGGAACAGAATAGAGAATCCAGAATTGGACCCCCAACTTTATGGCCGACTAATATTTGACAAAGGAGGAAAGACTATCCACTGGAAGAAAGACAGTCTCCTCAATAAATGGTGCTGGGAAAATTGGACATCCACATGAAGAAGAATGAAACTAGACCACTCTCTGTCACCATACACAAAGATAAACTCAAAATGGATGAAATATCTAAATGTGAGACAGGATTCCATCCAAATCCTATAGTAGAACCAGACAACACCCTTTTTTTTAACTTGGCCACAGCAACTTCTTGCAAGATACATCTACGAAGGCAAGAGAAACAAAAGCAAAAATGAACTATTGGGACTTCATCAAGATAAGAAGGTTTTGCACAGCAAAGGATACAGTCAACAAAACTAAAAGACAACCTGCAGAATGGGAGAAGATATTTGCAAATGACATATCAGATAAAGGGCTAGTTTCCAAGATCTATAAAGAACTTATTAAACTCAACACCAAAGAAACAAACAATCCAATCATGAAATGGGCAAAAGACATGAACAGAAATCTCACAGAGGAAGACATAGACATGCCCAACACGCACATGAGAAAATGCTCTGCATCACTTGCCATCAGGGAAATACAAATCAAAACCACAATGAGATACCACCTCACACCAGTGAGAATGGGGAAAATTAACAAAGCAGGAAACCACAAATGCTGGAGAGGAGGTGGAGAAAAGGGAACCCTCTTACACTGTTGGTGGGAATGTGAACTGGTGCAGCCACTCTGGAAAACTGTGTGGAGGTTCCTCAAAGAGTTCAAAATAGACCTGCCCTATGACCCAGAAATTGCACTGTTGGGGATTTACCCCAAAGATGCAGATGCAGTAAAACACCGGGACACCTGCACCCCGATGTTTCTAGCAGCAATGTCCACGATAGCCAAACTGTGGAAGGAGCCTCGGTGTCCATCGAAAGATGAATGGATAAAGAAGATGTGGTCTATGTATACAATGGGATATTACTCAGACATTAGAAACGACAAATACCCACCATTTGCTTCGATGTGGATGGAACTGGAGGGTATTATGCTGAGTGACGTAAGTCAGTTGGAGGAGGTCAAACATTATATGGTCTCATTCATTTGGGGAATATAAAAATTAGTGAAAGGGAATAAAGGGGAAACAAATAGTGAGTGGGAAATATCAGTGAGGGTGACAAAACGTGAGAGACACCTAACTCTGGGAAATGAACAAGGGATGGTGGAAAGGGAGTTGGGCAGGGGGTTGGGGTGACTGGGTGATGGGCACTGAGGGGGACACTTGGCAGGATGAGCCCTGGGTCTTACGCTATATGTTGGCGAATTGAACTCCAATAATTTTTTTTTTAAAAAAGGAGAGGGCTCTTTTGGAGTTCTGTGGAGAGCTTTGGGGAGAGGACACCTCCACCCTACCCCCAGCTTACCTCCACCCATGGCACACTGAATAACACCCGGGCTCCTCCCATTGGGGATTAGAGAATAGAACACTGAGATTAGGACCCCTAAGTAAGATCAGCTGGCAGAGCCAGGGGTGAACCTGGAAGCCCAGATGATCCCAACTCTGCCTCCTTGCCATTATCCCACACAGAAGCTAAAGGGCTTCAGCAACAGCAAGGCATATTTGTGGAGATGGAAATAGGAGTCTCTTAATGGAAGGGCAGAGATGGGGGAAAAAGGAAGAAGGCTTTCTTTCAGCATCTTTATAATGAATTCTTAACTTAAGCTCCAGGGTGAGGTGCCGATTTTCCGTCAGTCCTGTATGATTAGATGGAAATTTTTTCAAATTTTTTATTGTGGTCAAATATACATAATAACATATTTATCATCTTAATCATAGTTAAATGTACAGCTCAGTACTATTAAGTATATTAACACTGCTGTTGCCATCCAGCCCCAGAATTCTTCATCTTGTAGAACAGCAATTCTAAACCTATTGAACCATACCTCCCCAGGCCCCTCCACCCAGCCCCTGGCAACCACCATCCTACTTTATGTCCCTATGATTTTGACTAGTCAAGGTACCTCACACAGGTGGAGTCATACAATATTTGTCTTTTTGCAACTGTTTTGTTTCACTTGGCACAACATCCTCCAGGTTCATCCATATTGTAGTATATGCCAGAATGTCCTTCCTTTTTTTAAAAAAAAGATTTTATTTATTCATGAAAGACACAGAGAGAGAGAAAGGCAGAGATATAGGTAGAGGGAGAAGCAGGCTACCTGTGAGGAGCCTGTTGTGGAACTCGATCCCAGGACTCCAGGATCACGCCCTGGCCGAAGGCAGATGCTTAACTGCTGAGCCACCCAGCCTTCCCAATTTCCTTCCTTTTTAATGTGGAATAACATTCCATTATGTATATAGACCACGTTTTGCATACACATTCATCTGTCAATGGACACGTGGGTTGCTTACACATTTCAGCTATTCTGAACAATGTTCCTACAAACATAGGTATAAAAATCTCTCTTGAAGACCCTGCTATTGGGATCCCTGGGTGGTGCAGCGGTTTAGCGCCTGCCTTTGGCCCAGGGCGCGATCCTGGAGACCCGGGATCGAATCCCACGTCGGGCTCCTGGTGCATGGAGCCTGCTTCTCCCTCTGCCTGTGTCTCTGCCTCTCTCTCTCTCTCTCTGTCTCTGTGTGTGTGTGTGTGACTATCATAAATTTAAAAAAAAAGACCATGCTATTGATTATGTGGGGTGTACGCACAAAAGTGGAATTGCCAGATCATGTAGTAAATCTGTGTTTAACTTTTTGAGGAACCACCATACTGTTTTCCACGTGGCTGCACCATTTCATATTCCCACCTACATGGAAATGCTTTCAACATTCACTTATCTGACATCAATGCTTTGAGATTGATCAACCAGATCCAGCACATTGCAGAAACCCACACCATCTTACACACACGATTCCATTATAATCTTCTGCACTTCCTTGACACTTTGCAATGAGCACTTGAAGCATTTTCCATGCTAACTGATGGTCTAAGTGTGCAAGATGAAGCATCCCTACCTCAAGCAATTTTTTTCGAAGGAGTAGTGTTCAGATACCCAGATATTTGGGTTATATGAAGCACCAGGCCAGTTATGGGCTACCCAGGAGCCACTTACCTTTCATATAAGCCAAGCCAAAGTAGGTGAGCTCTCCAAGGTTGATGAAGGACATGACAGCACTGAAGATTGCTCCTGCTGTTGACATAATGTCACATTTCACCTCCAGACACTGCCCACTCAACAGCACTACACAGAGGTCCCTGAGAGCCAAATAGGATTTCCCTTTTTTGGTCTGAAAACAATAAATATTATCGATTGTAACAATAACTACAAGATATGGAGTCTTTGCTGTGGGCTCTCTACTGTGCTAAACACTTTATATGTATTGTATCACTTAATGACAAACAACCTAAGAGATATGTACATTAGCATTCCTATACAACAGCGGAGAGATGTGTTTCAGAGACAGTGAGGGGACCTGTTAGTAGTAAGGGGTGGTAAGGATTGCAAGGGACAGGTGCCAAAGTTAGTAAGAAGCAGTACTAGACTCAAATCCACACTCTCTGCCAGGCTCCACAGGGACCGTGAAGGCTGGAAGGCAGGTCTAAGATGCCTCTCCTTTGCTGAAATTCCAGCTGCCCCTCAGGCTCCACCTTCTGGGTGGGCTCAAGCTGGTCAGGGTCCTCAATCATGGATCCAGGTGTTATCCCTCTGAATCTATCCCTCCAGGGACAACACAGAAGAAGGAACAGAGGTAGGTACAGATCCAGTGAAGAGACAGGCTAAGGGGATTGCTCTGAATCAGACATTGGTCAGCAGAGTCACGTGCAAAGATGAGCGGCGGTCTGCCTTCTCGCTTCACCCTGCTTAGATTAATTTCAGATCTATCTGTCTCCACAGCCCCACCCTGACCACAGTTGCCACCGCTCAGCCACGCAGAATGGCCCATTCAAGGAGAAGAGGAAGAGCTGGAGGACCAGGAGCTGGGGTGCAGCTTGGCAGAGGGCTGTAGCAGCAGTCTGGAGGAGAGAGCGAGAACCCCACCCCCGGGGCCCTCCCAGCCTGAGGCCCTAGTCAGTAGTCAGGAGGCCTCCAGGCCTGCCCAGCAGGGTGGTTGGCTCAGCACCCTCCACCTCTGCCCAGTTAACCCAGCACTTACCACAATCGAACCAGGCAGATGCAAAATCACCAGGGCCTCTCCAGCCAGCAAGACGAACTCCGGCGTAGAAAACTGGCAAAAACACCCAGAGTCACTCGTGGTACAGGAGAGAAGTCACATTCGAGGGGGTCTGGTCACCCCCAGCTCTGGGACTAGGCTTCCCCTCCCTTCTTCCCCTACCCATTCTCCCTTCCTCAGAGTCTGCAGGAAACAGGCTTCAGGAAAAGGGGTTTAAGCTGGGCATCTCAAAGCAGATGTCTTAACAGCAGGTACAGGATTCTTGGTGATGTCCTAGCTATTAAGTTGGGTGTCCCCTTCATTATATGTTTCATAATTCTCACATCATTACCTAATCTTTGGTATGTATGAAAATTATAAAACACATTATATGATACAAATATGTTATATGTCAGAGACGTTTTAAAGTAAAAATATCTTTAGATTTAGATTAGATGAGACATTTTTCTAGCTCTGTATGTTGAATCAATAACATGCATGGGCAGCTATTCCCAATTTCACATTTTTCGTACCATACTTGTGATGGGGAAGTACTTTCATACCTGTCATTAGTTAGACCCAGCCATCATCCTGTGGAGTGCATATTCTCAACCCATTTGGCAGGACATGGAGGCCCAAGAGGTTGGGAAACTCTCCCAAATCTAACACCAGAGAGTGTTAGGATTGGGTGGGGCCTACTAATGTGCCCCTCAAGGGAACAAACAACCAGACTCCTGTTTCAAAAGGCCAGCCAGTGCATAACTTGTGTCCTGAAAGAATCTCCAGTGGCAGTGTCCTAAGTGAGTGATCATGAAGAAAAACCAAAGAAGGCAAAAAAAGATCCTACTCCCTGACCCTGTGTATATGCCCTGCAAGCTCACGAGAACATGAGGGGGGCCTCAGAGGGCAGTGGGGGACGGTGGGAAGTGTGGGAGCCCAGAGCCACAACGCGGAGGACGTCCTGAGGCTACTGTAGGCTCAACTCATCTCCAATTGGTTAAGGATCTTTAAGCAAATATCTCTGTGACAGACAGACAAAGACTTTCTGGGGGCATCTAGGTCTGATGTTCCCAAAGGAAAACAGAGGCACACGCTGAACACCTGGCAAGGACAGCCTCCTGGGTTAACAGCCTGCCCTGCAGGCGCTCATCCCTGCCCCAGGGGACCCTAATCCCCTCGCGGTCACTGAGGGCTTGTATGGTCACTAAAACAGTTTTTCAGCTAATGTCAGTGTTGTTCAAGAAAGGATGTCTTCTAAACATTGGAAGTGGCTCTGCTGTCTGATGGCAGAGCTGCTTCTGGCAGCAGGTGCACCCTGAGACCTTCCCTGATCTCACCCTCTAGCATGCGCTTAGCAGGGTAGACCCTCAGTAGAGACCAACCTGCTCACAAGGAGACAGGGTCCCCGGAAGCATGAGCACACTGCAGGGGCCACTGGACATCTGTCCCTCCTGTCAGCCTGGACATCACAGCCAGGGCAGGATGCCTAAGTACTCCACAGCCTCTACTCCACACACTCACCCCAACCCTATCACCCTCTGTACCAAGTGCAACAGGGAATCTCTCTTCCTCTGCCCCACCCACACCTTTGCTCCCACCTTTTGCCTGCCCAGAAGGCACCTTCCAAGTACATTGGGCCCTCTTATCACATACCTTGTTTTGCCACCACCCCACATTGATAGTTATGAACATCCTGAGTGGTGGGACCTGACATCTTCAACCTTCTATCCTATACAGTGTCTGCTACCACAAGCCCACTTGATAAACTCCTATTGCCCCAGATTGCAAATGTCAAGTTGGTTTTAGTTTAATTCTGTAAATTTCAACCCAAGGAGCCTACCCACCCCCCAGAAGACCCTGCCCATTTTCAACTACTGTGTCAGCCACACATAGCGCCCCTCTCAAACCTCTTTGGAGAATGTCCTTTGGTCTTCTTTTGCTCACCTTTCCTTTTCTTTGCAAAAAAGCCCTTTGAGTAGCAGTTGCTGGCTGTGGGGTTTCTGCTGCCACAGAGAGAGTGGAACCAGAGCTTAACCACTGTCTATCCTGAAGCTCTTGGGGAACATCAATTGGAAGAGCACTAGCCAGTGGTCAAGAAAGGGAGAGATAATGAACAATGGAAACAGCCCACCACATGCAGGTGCTCAGCTGGACAAGGTGTGTCCACTACTTTACCTTTGCCCCAAGCCTATGCGGAGAATTACTGTATCCACTTTTCTAATGAGGCCACTAAATCTGCAGAGCCACAGGAGCGGGGTGGGGTTTGAGGTGGAAAGCCACAGTCCATTTCCTCCCTGCCCCACAACACTGCTTCACAATGAGCACAGCATCACTGTGCTCAGGACACACAGGTCCTATGACTTCAGCTCCTGAACACCTTGTTAGGGTCACTGGAGGTTCTGACTTTCCTGCTTGGAATTTTAGATATTGTTCAAAACGTTTTCTCAGTTTTTTTTTTAAAGTACATTATTTATGGAAACAGAAAGAAAGCTATTTTCATGGAGAAAAAAGAGAATAGGGTTTTAAATAGCAGGAAAAATCACTATGAGATGAACCCTACAGCATCTTGTCAAGGCCTCAGGTGTGTATGTGACATCAAGTATCACCACAGCCCTTGGCTGAACCAGAGAAGGACAAAATATCAATATGTAAAGAAATAAATACCCAAGATTCAAAATTCCTAATGTTCCAGATGCGGGAAGATATAGTCTCATGTGGGTTTTGAGCAGATCTAAGCATCTATGTTTGACTGATTCTAAAACCAACCATTTCTTTTCCCTGACCCAAGCACTCTGCATCTCTCTCCCTCTGTTCCTTCCTTTCTCTCTCTCTCTCTCTGTCTCAACTCTGCCATCGTCTTGAGAATAATCCCAGGCTAGCCTGCTGGTGATGAGCCAGTGCTCCCCCAGATAATAGCCAGCCACCCCCAGAGGTGAAGCTACAGCTGATCACAGATGCATGAGGGCATCCAGCAAAGTCCAGAAGAACCTCCCAGCTGAGCACAACCTTTTTTTAATTTCCCAACTTACACAATCAAGAGTTAAATAAACCATTTTTTAAAATATTGTATGTATTTATTTATTTGACAGAGAGAGAGAGAAAGAGCACGAACTGGGGACGGGGGGAGGAAGGGCAGAGGCAGAGGGAGAGAAGCAGGCGCCCCTGTGAGTTGGGAGCCCGACTCGGGGCTCCATCCCAGGATCATGACATCAGCCAGAGGCAGACGCTTAACCGACGAGCCACCCAAGTGCCCCTAAACCATTATTTTTAGGCATTATATTTTGTGGTCATTATGCTGCTTTGTGAGGCAACAGGTAATCACAACAATGTGGAAACATGTTGTTTTACATAACTAAGCCTGAACTCAATTCCCAGAGACAGAATGGCCCGACAGCACAGCTGCCATACAGCCCCCATCACCAGTTGGCTGTGTACCTGCTTAAATGTGTTGTTTTTTCACCTTCCAATGGAAAAGGATCAGCTTTTTCTGGAGAAGCAAAAGGTTTCACATCAGTAATCAGTAAAGAAGCAAGATACAGCAGTCCCCACACGAATGGTCCACACACTGTACAGCTTGCTGCTTACCTGCTGACAGAGAGGCTGTGATGACTGTGTGCTGGGGTGCTCAGCCCAGGCACCAGGGAGCTCTGCGTCTCTGTGCTTCTTTCTGAAACTAACCAAACAGCACAGTGGAGGGCATGGAAGAGGCGAAAAGCATGGCTTTCTTGAATCAAGCAGACTGAAGTGTGGATATCAGCTGTGTAACTTTGGCAAACTTACCCTCTCTGAGTCTGTTTGCTCATGTGAGAAATGGAAATGACAGTTATAGTCAAGGGAGCTTTTTTTTTTTTTTTTGGAGGAGGAGGATGAAGAAAGATAAAACCTAGTGGCAGAGTGCCTTGCTTCAGAGACAGCAAACAATAATATTGTTTTTAATTCCTTATTTAAATTCAAGTTGGTTAACATATACTGTATTATTAGTTTCAGAGGTAAAGTTTAGCGATTCATCAGTTGCATATAACAGCCAGTGCTTATTACATCACGTGCCCTCTTAATGCTCAGATTCAGTTGAAGAGTAGAGAACAGTGGAAGATTTGAAGAGTATTCTAAAATCCATTCCTTTAACACAACTAGAGCAAGAACAAAAACAGTCTCTTAAAGATTGCTTTTCTTCTGCTCCACCTAGACACTAATTTAAAAAAACTCTTTTTCTTATGCTGTGTATTGAAATTTGTTTTATCAACTTGGACACTTAAAACTCAATAAAAAAGGAGTTTATGTTTGATATAAATAATATCTTCAGATGAAGCTTTCCTCAGGACACAGCCCCTTCTCTCTGGGGGCTCCGTGGAAGAGGGGAGCTTGCATGGGTTTTCTCAGCTGCCACAGCATGAAATCGTCCGGTCCACTCAGGACAGGAAACAATGGGAATGCCTGGGATGCTGTACCCACCTCTGCAAGGGTGCAGACGCTCCAGGGCCCATGCTGCTGAGTTCTCGCAGCTCTCCTGATGCAGCCTATTCCTGAGCAGGTAGCTTCTGTCCTGCTGCATAGGGGAGCTTTCTTCCACAACTCTGCTCTCCACCTGAAGGTCAAGTGCATCCCAAAAGTCGAGAGGGGACATTTATATAGACACAGACCGGCTGTCAGATTAAGTCAGTTCGGAAGTGTCTGTCCTACACAGTGAGAGCCTAACAAGGTGCTCTGGCACCAGACGTGCTCCAGACTCCACCCCCCACGTGCACCCTAGATGTAATTCACTCCCCTCCCCCAGAACAAGTGTACTCCTACACAGTTGTGCCTTTGTTCCTGTGCTCCCCCTACCGCCTAGGACGCCCCCTGCTGAGCTCCTCTGAGCCTCTAAGATGCAAAACTATGTTCTCTCCACTTCCAAACCTCTCCCTGTCTGCCCTCAAGGCAGAGGGCGGTGTCCCTTCTGTCACCTTCCCTCATCACCTTGCTGGCATCTCCTCTCTGATACAACACTATATCATGTTCTCTTGTTTCTCCCCGACCTCACCGTGTGATTTGTGCTTCACTGTAGCTCCTCTGGCTCAATGAACAGGAGCAACATGTTCAGATGCCAAGACAGAAGGGATCCAAGGGGAACAGGATGTGAGAAGCATTTTCTGACTGGCTAGAGGCAGCATCCACCCCCAGCTACCCCCTCCTCCATCCACATGGCCCTGCATTAGGCTTGGTCTCGGTTCTCCAGCCTGCACCTTGGACAAGTGCACAGCCACCCAGCCAGTCTCCAGCCCTGCCTACCTCTGGTTCCTCTCAAATCCAGACCTCCTTGTGTTTATATCCCATGCACCTCACTGGCCTATCCCCAGTCCCAGCACTGCCCCAGCCTCAAGGGGCCCAACCCCGACACAATTCCTGCCCCAGAACTCCCACCCCACCCTCCATGGGGCCAGGCTGAGGCTGTCTCCACCTCGTGGCTGGGCTTGTCAACCACCCTATCCTCCTTCCATCATTCCCCCTCTCCTAGGGGCACTTCCCCAATAAATAACATGCATAAGGGCACCTGTGTGGTGCCATAGGTTAAGCATTCGGCTCCTCGTTTTTGTTCTTATCGTGATCTCAGGGTCATGAGATCAATCCCCCATCAGGTTCTGCACTCAATGTGGGGTTTGCTTAAGATTCTCTCTTCCTTGGGATCCCTGGGTGGCGCAGCGGTTTGGTGCCTGCCTTTGGCCCAGGGCGCGATCCTGGAGACCCGGAATCGAATCCCACGTCGGGATCCCGGTGCATGGAGCCTGCTTCTCCCTCTGCCTGTGTCTCTGCCTCTCTCTCTCTCTCTCTCTGTGACTATCATAAATAAATAAAAAAAATTTAAAAAGAAAAGATTCTCTCTTCCTTTCCCTCTGCCCATCTCACTCATACACTCGCTCGCTCTCTCCTTCTCTAAAAGAAATAAATCTTAAATAATAATAATAATATGTATAAGCATCGCCATTTCTGGCTTTGCTTCAAGGGAATCCGACCTAAGCCAAATGCCTACTATGTGCCAGCCTCCTCCTAGGCAGTGGGGAGCACACAGGGCAGCAAGCAACACGGTGTAACAGGTGCAACAAGGGGACTCTCTGCAGATACAAGACATCAGAGGAAGGGAGGAGCCAGGGGCTATAGGCACAGACAGGGAAGGCTCCTTATACAAGGCTTAGTCAAATTTTGATAGATGAGCTACTCGTGGGTTATACACACAATTGCTTTTATATAAAGAGTCTCTTTGAAAGATCCCAAGAGTCTCAGCCACATTAGAAATCTGGGCCCCCCAAAGGTCTTCACCAGCACTGCCCAACAGAACTGCAATGATGTGATTGTTCTGTATCTGCCCTGTCCAAGATGGTCATCACTAGCTACATGTGGCTACCGAGCACTTGAAATGTGGTGGGTGTGACAGGGGAATTGAATATTTTATATTATTTCATTTCTGGTGGCTGCTGGGTTGGGAAGCACAGGTAGACACTGACCTCGGAGACGGTGCTCAGTACTAAGGTGGCCAGCCGTCGAACATGGACATTGGCAGAGGCTGGGTAGACAGCCATTTCTTCCCGATGAACCCGACAAGCTTCCAGAACCGACTGCAAGGGCAGCCGCCTGCTAGGCTGGTTCTCGCACATGGTCAGCAGAATGGAGTGCAGGGGCTCACGGAGCCGCAGAGGCTGGAGAGAAGAAGGGCCGGTGAGTCCAAGAGCTTGCCGGGGGTGCGGTGGGGACTAATGGACAGATGTTCTCATTACCACCTGACAGACACCTGCCCCTTCGGGAGAATTTAGGGACCATCACAAGATATGTCACTGGGGCCACAAAATGCAGAGCAATTATCTCTATGCCAGTTGTGGGAAGTTTGCTGTTTTCTGGTCTGGAATGTTTTTCAGTACACAGAGAGCACAGACATGTGCTTGGAATACCTATGAAAAATAAGTGCTTGGGCAGCCCCTGGTGGCGCAGCGGTTTGGCGCGACCTGCAGCCCGAGGTGTGATCCTGGAGACCTGGGATCGAGTCCTGCGTCGGACTCCCTGCATGGAACCTGCTTCTCCCTCGGCCTGTGTCTCTGCCTCGCTCCCTCTCTCTCTGAATGAATAAATAAATAAATAAATCTTAAAGAAAAAGAAGTGCCTGACAATATGGATTTCCACCCATGATCTGTGCTCAGATCAAACCAGGGATTAGCCTTCAATTCACACCCATCTGGGCAGCCTGTCAAAATCTTTCTCGAGTACTTCTCAAATGTAATTACTTCTCAAATTACTTCCTCAATTACTTTCTGCCAAATTACTTCCCAGATTATTTAGATGGGCCTCACCGGGCCTTCCCCCCTAGAATGTGAGCTCCAGGAATATAACGATTGTGCCCTTTATTGCTCAGAATCTACAGTGGTCACCACAAGGTCACTGATCATTGGCTGAAGTTTAATGTCAGATGTACCCATCAGGCAAAGGAAAAAAATACTTTTTTTTAAAGATTTTATTTATTTATTCATGAGAGACAGAGAGAGGGAGAGAGAGAGAGAGAGAGAGAGAGAGAGAGAGAGAGAGAGAGAGAGGCAGAGACACAGGCAGAGGGAGAAGCAGGCTCCATGCAGGGAGCCCGATGTGGGACTCAATCCCGGGTCTCCAGGATCACGCCCTGGGCCGAAGGCAAGCGCTAAACTGCTGAGCCACCCAGGGATCCCCTGGAAAAAAATATTTTATTAAGCACTTCCCTCATGCATCTAAATGGCCATTGTTTATAAGGAGAAGTCCTCAAATTGATTCCAAATCAGGCTTTTTCTCACACTCACCCATACTGTGGGTCATTTTTGAGATAAAGGTTACACTACCATTTCATACCGTGGAGGACCAGCTGTGAATTCCCATCCCCGTGTGTGAGGGGGATGCTGTGTCCTGGGCTCACACAGCCAATCCGAGTGCCTCTGATGTGCCCAGGATCCCATAGCTACTTGAGCTACATGGTGGCAGACCGTCCCTGCTTTCAAGGACTTCACACCCTGATGAGAAAGATGGTCAACTAAAGGGACAAGGATTTTGGTCTTGGGAAGCACAGACAGAGGAAAAGATCGAACCCAGCTTGGGGAGGGCATGGGGGGGCTGAAGGAAAGAACTGGAACTAAATCTCAGAAAGCACACTGGGGTTGACGAGTTGACCAGGAGAAAAGTGAGGGAGTGAACCACAAATGGAGGCAGCAGTATGTGCTAAGGGTGGCGTGTTTTTTTTTTTCTTACATTCAGATTTTAATAAACTAGAATGACAGCCTTTAAAACAAGCATGCTAGCCTATAATGAAAATAGTATATACTGTAATTTAAACATTTAGAACTATATATTATACTGCAAAAGCAAACAGCACAACACTCATCATACTCATCATTACCTGCACTGTACACTATCTCTAAAAACGAAAATACAAAACAGTAAAATGCACCTATGGTTTATGTGTGTGTGTGTGTGTGTGTGTTTTCTTTCTTTTTTATTTATTTATTTATTTTTGCAGTTATGGGTAATCATAACTCTGGGTTGAATGGAGGGAAAATTATTGGAGGAGTTGAAGTGACTGAGAGACCTGGGTGTTGGAAGGATCATCTGTGTGGATATGGCAATTACCAATAGTTGAGATGACATTGAGAAGAGTGATGGTAAAGCAGGATCTAGAATAATCGAAATATGATCCCTGGGGGTCAAGAGAAGACAACAGTGTTCAGATAATCCGATGACATGAAATCCTATGCAAGACACCTATCTCACCTGCATGCCACCTGTCTCACCTCCAGGCCTGTGAGAGAATGAGGGCTGTGAGAGAAAAATCAGGCCTTGTTTAGGAAGCCTGCCAGGTCTCAGGGAACTCGGGGGGAGAGCCAGGTGTCCTGTAGGGAAAGAAGTAACAAGAATGGCCATACAATAGGTTGAGGACAAGGGAGATTTTGCTAATCATGGATTATGAACTCTAGAGGTCATGAGGGAAGAGTTTCAGAAATTAGGGAGGATAGAAGGCCACAGAATAAGGGAAAAACAAGGCCTCATAGAGGATCAAAGGCCTGGAGACAAGGTGCCTTGGGAGCTAGGGAGATTGTAGAATTGACACAATCAGGGACAAAGACACAGTGAGATGGGGCAGGACAGTGACCAAGGGGAAAATTATGAAGCAGGGCCCCTTGTTCAAAATTTTTAAGAATCTCAAAATGGTGGCATCAGAGCATTAAATGAAGCATGGGTCCTTTTAAGTACAATTATATGGGCCACACACCCATGAAGCTGGCCCTGATGATGGCAGAACTCTAGACAGGAATCAGAACCATGGCTAAGAACCCAATCTGGGGCTCCAGGTATGCCCTGCTAAGAAGTGGCACCTAACCCCGTGGGGAGTAGGAAGCTAAGAAAGATCTCACATAAAGACGGGTAAGAACAAAAAGCACCAGACAACATTGGGATGTTGAATTAGAGAGGGCAAAGGTGAGAGGGAGGAAGGAAGGAAGAAAGGAAGGAAGGTTGGAAAGGGATGAGGGAGGGAGGAAGGGCAGGGTTCTCCAGCTTTTGTTACACTGGTTTCTAAGGAATCCTTAGTGTAAGATGAAAATTTGTACACATACACACAAACACATACATTCTGTAGTCAAAAAGTTTATACAATGTGATAAAGTTGAATTATTTTTTTTTTTGCTTTATGCTTTCTCAGAGCCCTTAATAAACTGCTGTGCCAAATCTTTGAGAGGAAGATATTGTAGCAAGCATTTTCCCAAATTGATTGAGCACAGCACTGTTTTCCAGGGAAGCATTTCACTTCAGGAAGGGTTGCTTTAAAGCCTATTTTATACATCTGTATCTTCGCTATCTATAAAACCCTCTAGTTTGCTACTTCCTCTGAGCAGATAAGTCTTCTTCTGCTTGCCAATCCTAGATTGTGGCTGGCTGCATTGCCATACTGAGCAGCATTCTGAGGTGCTTTCTGAACTCAGCAGGAGCACTTCTGTAGTGGGTTGGCAGTGCCTTCCCAGAACCTAGGAAGACAGAGTGGTGGCACACAGCTCAAGAGACATGATCCCTGTTGGGAAGAAAACCTGAGAATGAAATCCAAAAACATGACCTGGAGAGACTTTGCATATCTCATGTACAGACCTGATTTTGTGGGACACGGAAGCCTGCCGACCAGTAGAGAGTCATTCCCAAAGAATACACATGCATCGGCCCAAGACAAAAAGCACCAGGTTAAATTGCAGTCACCTCTGTTATTTCATAGTCCTGCAAAAAAACACCATCCAAGTTCTACCCGTGGCAGATCCTGTTGGCTGGCTAGCCCAACAACCATCTACAACTGTCATAAACTTTCCCTTCTCCCTTCCACTCTGGCAGATTAAAGCCACAGGGACCATGACACCTCGCTTTGGCAAAAGACACAGAAGTCTGTTAAGGTGTTTTTGAGGAAACTTTTGTTTTTCTGACAATAAGAACACAGGTAGCTAGCTGTTCCCACTCTTTCCTCCTTTTGCCTTGTCTATTGATAGGATCACAGCTGCCATCTTGAGACCATGAGGCAATAGGCACGAGAGCAAAAAGCCAGCATCTAAGAAGGGTGGACTGGAAATACATAGCCCAGATCTTGATGACGTTTACTAAGTGGCTAACCAACCCCGAGACCTCTTGTGAAGCAAATAATGACTGAATCTGTGGTTCTAGCCTCTGTATTTTAGGCTTTCTGGTCCATGTAGCCAAAGCCATCTGTATGTGACACACTGGGGCGGCCTGATTTAAAAGTATTGCATGCTGTCAGAAAGCAACATGGTGAAATGGAAGAGCATTATCTGATGTCTCCAAGCCTCACTTTCTTCACCTTTAAAGTGAGTTTTCTGCCTGAATACTCATGAGCATTGAGTAAAAAGCATCTGGCAATGGTAATGATAATTATTGTTATGATTATCCATTGCGGAGCATTCTCACAGCAAGCCGGGCTCTAAGTCTTTTACTTATATAGACTCATTTAGCCCTCAACCTAGTCCTGGGAGGTCAGTGTTTTAATTGTCTCCATCCCTTAGAGGAAGCAAAGCAAAGGCAACTTAGGGGACTTTCCTGAAGAAGATCTAAAGCCTAAACTTGAACTAGAGCCCCTGCCCTGGGCCTTGGCTATGTTGCCTCTGGGTCATTCTAAGTTCTCAATAAATGTCAATTTATTAGCTTCTGCTGCAATTGACAAGCTACAGTTAAAGTTAGGATCTATCTTTGCAGGAAATGATTTTTGGAACTTTAGAAGGGAGGCAGTGAGTTAACAAAACATGGTGTGTAAAACAGCATGGTTACTTTAGCAAACCCCTCAGTTAAATACAAGTGAGTTTGGTTTTGTTTTGTTTTTTTTGTTTTGTTTTGTTTTGTTTTATTTGCATCTCTAGGTCAAGGGCATATGTCCGGGATCACATGTGCCAATTTTCTCTCTGAAACTGTACCCCTAACCTAGTCAACCAGACATCTGATGAATGTGACTAGACACCTGCAGAAAAGTCCACAAATTGCCTCCTCATCTCTGGAGAAATGCTCCTGAGAGTAGATGCTAGAGCGGTGTCCTGAGCACTGACAGAGGCACCATCCATACTCTGTAACTTACTTGGATTCCAAGGGTTCTGTCTCAATATTCTAGGGTGAAGCCTAAGGCCAAAATGACAATAGCCTTCATCCC